TATTTTACCATACCAGCTGGAAAAATGAGGGGGGGGGGAGAACTTGCCGATGGACGAAACGTACGCAGAACTGTAAAATTCCGTCTTATACTTTTTTCCTAAAGCAATGTAGAATATGTACCGCTGCTGGAAATAATGTCAGTCGGTTGTGCCATGGCCTTTTATGGATAATAAAGGCAAATACCTGGTAGTAGCGGAGGGCTGTACTGCTTATGCGAAATACATAAAATATTGACGCATTAACTAGAGAAAGGATACGATACGTTACGGTATAAACGCATGTCTGTCGTTTTAAAGGAAAACAACGACGAGGGTAGACTCTGTGAGTGAACGAGGGTGCGAGCGAGAGCGGGGGGGGGGGGGGTTTGGGGGAGGGAGAGGCGAGACACTGGAGGATACACCAGCATCATCCGAGTGCGCTCTCCGGCAATTCCCTCTATACGCTGGAATAACGACTTTAATGGCAGGGCGAGTCCAAGGGTTCCTCGGTAAAAGGGTGCAAGCGTTTCTACGTTATCCCGTCGCAGCCTGGGATTTAACGAGCCACCTTCCACCTCCCCGCCCCCCTTTGCTGAAGGTTACTATCAGCCCCGAGGTACCCCTCTCATCTCCTTTTATATAGCCTCAACCCATGTACAGATATACACGATAAAACAAAGGATATGGTAGTAACTTATGATGCCTCATGAACAGGTACACGTCTAATTAATTATCCCAAAAATATATGATCGTATAACTTTCGAATATCTAATCGTAAACAGGGCGGTCGGGAACTGCCCGTATTTGAAACAACGATCATTAAATTAACTGGTTCAATATGCGTATGAAATTTATTCATGTTAAATCGCTGTGTCGTTATTGCTTGGCCGTAGCGTTGCCCGAGGAGTTCCCTTCGTAGAGACAAAAGTTTTGATTTACAGGGAATTTGTCATTGATTTTGAGGAATGTGTCGTCTATTATTGGTGTACTGGACATTAAGTAGAATAATCTTGATTATCAGTGAGATTTATCACTGAAATTTGGGGATAAATTCCGGAAAATTGGAGATAGGTCCCTAAAAATCTGTGCCATTACTTTGACAATTAGTGATGATGTCCCGGAAAATTACTGACGTTATCACTGGAAATTAGTGATAATGTCACCGAAAATTAATGACAAAATCACTAAATTTCCGAATTTTGCACTCAACGAATTTCAAAATCGCGAATCCCTAATAATTGGGAATAAATTCCTGGAAATCGGTGACACATTCCCTGAAAATCAAAACTATTCCTCTGTGTTCTTTTGCACCTTATTTTATATTTGCAAATGACGATTTGATAAGAATTTTACCGATTTCTTGGGCACAGCCCCGAATTGTCCACAATTTTTTCGAAAGAAGTGTGGAATTGAAAAAAAAATTTAATGTTGAAACCTAATCAGGCTTACCTAGGAATGACTCGAGTGGAGAAATACGTTATTGAAAAACTAAATACTTCTCTCCAGTAAACGGATACTTGGCAAATATATTTTCTTCGTGTGCCTCCTTTACTTCACATTTAACAATTCGCGATAATCAATTTTTTTATTGATTTTTTATGCCAAACCTCATCGTTATATTTTCTTTTCATAATATTCAGAATACGTAAAATCTTGGAAAATTTAATGTGCATCGAATTAGCGCGTTCATTAATTTTCCTGGGATGCATGAACTCGTTCGATGCATTAGGTGATCTGCATTCGGTCATTCTACCCTAATATTCTGTTATTTTTACCTCTCGTATGATTTTGCAACCCCTGACACAGCCAAACTGGGAGAAGAGGGCACACAGCAAATCCTCGGTTACACTGACATCGAGATTACCGATGTACCTGCATGGCGTTCATCATTTTTGTTGAATTCTCATTCACGAGGTTTCATCGTTAATTGTACAACTGCTTTATTTATCATCTACTCACAGTGTTTTCGGCGGCATTGGCTCGGACATGATGCTTGCCACACGGCAATCACACGAGGCACTAATGCGCTTATTGCATACATTCATAATGTATATCTAGTGTGCATACGTATCGACTATTACATAAATAGTCTTTTTATTTAAAAACACCTTTTCGACAGTGCTGGCCAAAAAGGCGTGAGTGATGTGGGTGAGAAATGCGTGGTGCGATGAGAACGGAAACTCCTTCAGTGGTTGATTGAACATTGAGGAGGTCATGAGTATTCCATGGATTGTTGAAGTAGGTTTTTTATTTTTCCTTGTGCAATCGAGATGTGTCAGCCCGGTTATTTCTGTCACGACTACGTGTCGTTCAATCTCCGCGAAAATAATTGTAAAGAATTAATGGAAAATATGACATCAAATCCTACATAATACTAAATTTTTATCTGATTATTGATTCTCACACAATCGGAGAAAAGTAGAATATTCTTAACAGGAGTTCAAAATAACGAAGAAAAATTGAAGAAATTGACTGACCAGTCTTCAACGCGTAACGTAATATTTAAATGTCTCGAAGTGTTTTCTACTGTTAAAGATATAGTATAATGTAGTATACTATGCTATACTACAGGGAGAGAAATTTTCTAGAAAAATTCTAGTACGAGTACTGAAAAAAATCACAATCCATCGGCTGGGAAAAATTCTAGTGCTGTTAAGGTACAATTTCTTGGTATCTCTGGTAAAATTTGTGGGGATTTCTGGGAAATTTTCATAGAAATCCGGGGAAAAATTCGTTTTCCCCAATAAAATTTCTAGTGCCGGCACTGGAATTTTTTCCTGGCCGTCACTTTGCGCCTCTTTTCCCGTGCTAACACTAGAATTTTTCTAAAAAATTTCTCTCCGTGTATCACCTTTTGTATATAACATAAATCGACTCAATTTTTTTTTGAAGAAAATTCCTAAAAAGATATGCATTTTATTATAATGATGAGGAAGGGACTTTGTTATCTTACAATGTAACTATGCAGATAAATAGAAAGTATTTTCTCCGAAAACACTGAGGGAAATAAACAACAGGAAAAATTCTGTAAAAAATTTGACATCTTTATTTCATCCTTTGATTTTCACTCTTAGATAAAATCGGTAAATCTCGGAGGGGAAAGGGGAATAATTCAAACGTAATGCGGCGATTGTATATACAATACCTTCGACCAACGACGAGCGTCGTCACGTCCACATGACGGCTCCACGACTCAAAGTTAGAAAAAAAAATTAACTGACTAGTCTTTGATTGAAAACTCAATTATAAAATCGTCAAAAAACACAGAGTACCCCTGATCGCATAATATTTAAATGTTTCATAGTATTTATATTATACTATAAAAAAATACTATAATAGTTCCATATCTAATATAACTTAATTGGATTTTTTTTTCAAGGAGAATTTTTAAGAAAAATGTCATGCATTTTATTACACTGACGAGGAAATGACCTTATCGCTGCAAAAAAATTCTTGCAGTGGCATCCCCATGCTGTCCTCCAAAGTAACTATCAAAACAAATAGAAAACATTTCTAAAACTACAGAAAAAAAATAGTCTGACATCTTTATTTCATCCTTTAATTTCCACTTCAACGTTAAAGTTCGTTAATCTCAGAGGGGAAAGGAGAATAACTCAAACATAATACGGCAATTGTATACAATACCTTTTACCAACGACGGGCGGCGCGACGTTCACCCTAGCTCCTCAATTCAAACCAAAAAAAATTAACTGACCAGTTTTTGATTGAAAACTCAATTAAAATAATATTTATATGTCCCATAGTATTTTTTACAAAAAAAATTGTATTGTGCAATATACTACACTATACCATAATATTTTCATATCTAATATAACTTCACTTGATTTTTTTTTCAAAAATTTTTACCAAAAATTTCATGCATTTTATTACACCAACGAGGAAACGACCTTGTCACTGCAAAAAAAATCTTCCAGTGACATCCCCATGCAATCCCCCAAAATAACTATCAAAACAAATGGAAAACATCTCTAAAACTACGAAGGTAATTGAATAAACAACATCGAAAAGTTCTTTAAAAAAATAATTTGACATCTTTATTTCATCCTTTAATTCCCACTTCAACGTTAAAGTCGGTTAATCTCGGAGGGGAAAGGAGAATAACTCAAACATAATGCGGCAATTGTATACAATACCCTCGACTGACGACGGGCGTTGTGACGTTCACGACGGTTCCGCAATTCAAAACGTATCGAGGAAAGGGAAGGCACAATGGAGGTAAAACAGGTGAAGCAAAAAAGTTATACTTTTCAGAAGGCGATAAATCATCTTGGAAATTCGCCGTAGCTGACAGGCTCGGTAGTTTTACGAGGCACTGCACGCAAAATGCAAATGCCCCCCACGAGTCACTGGTGGGTGGTGGGCTTGCACTGCAATTAATTAGCGTTTCGTGATGTAACCCTGGGGCTCATGGTGCATGGGTGCATTTTTTTCCTTTCTGTCCTACCCTCTTTACCCACCCCCCTGGCTAACTAAACAACCCCCACCCCTCCCCCATGTCCACCCCACCGATAAGCCAATGCCGTTCGACACGATCCCAGGGGACACGTAATGTACGACTACAAGTGATGGTAGAATAAATGATACGTTTTTTTCATACTTCCCAAATTAAAACAATGGCATTATATTTTACATAATATACAAATAATTTTTCGTCGTCTGGGACTTCTCCATTCCCCACTTTCAATGCTATTGTAAAGTTCGATTGACAATTCAAGAGTGAGAGGTAAATCGTGAGAAGTGGTTTTTCATCGATTTTACATCGGATTTGATTGTTTAGGAAATTGTTGTGGTACTGATTTTCTATGAGAATCGTTAGCTGCAAAAAATAGATCTCTACATTTCCTCATGAAACCAGGCATTTTCGATGTGAATGGATTCAGTAGCGAAGCGGTGAAACGGTTTGAGTCGATTTTGACTATTGGTCAGTTTTTAATAAATATCTCGGAATCTGAGGCGGATAGCACAATTTTTGTTATGACCTTTTTTGTAGAGCGCATTGAGACCTACATAAAATGTCATTACGAAAATTTCGTTATCTCCCTTAGATTCGGAGATATTCTTCGAAAACTCAGCTAACAGCTAAATCGCTTTACCGCTTCACCGGTGAATTGAAAAATATAACAGCAGATTTCACTCATTGCTGTTTAGTCTTTTTTGATTCTTCGTCAGGAATGAAGGGTGTACAACACACCCCAGGATTTTTTTTCCATTATTTTTGTGAACCACTTTCTCATTTATTGAAACGAAAATCTTTGGAGGCATATTATTTTCGGAAAAGCGACTTTGGAAAAATTCACCTAAATCCAACAGATGAAAGAGGGATCGCGCTTATTTCACATTTTATCGAATATAAAATGATCGTATTATCCAGTGATTCCAGAGGAAAATTTCGGGGGCTTTTCTAGAAAACTCTCAGCCATGCATTTTCGACAATTGAAATAGTATTTTATCCAACGATTTGGTAAATTATGTTTTTGACGAGCATGAGGTATACTGCTCGAACTAAAGACGAGGATTGTATTCCCACTCGTCAAACACATAATTTACCACGAGTTGGGGGACGGGGGGGTAATATGGGCACTTTCAACTTTAAAAAAAATATTGATAACTCACTGAATTATTAATGAAATGGGAAATTTTTTTCTAAACTTTTTTAAAAATAAAAACAATTTTTACCGTTTATAATGAGCATAGGTCATATTCCCGTAGTCTGTAAATTTTCAATTTACAAGCTGACGTGTGAGGAAATCTAATAGCAGATTTTACTCGTTGCTATTTAGTGGTTTTTAATTCTTCGTCACAAACGAAGAGTATTTAGCACACCCCAGGGCTTTTTTCCATAATTTTTTTCAACCACTTGTCATTATTTGAAATGAAACATTTTTAGATCAATATTATTTTTCGAACCTTCAACCACTCAGTCACATCTTTCTCTCGTCTTCAGTCCAATTTTCTGTTGAAAAATTGACTTTGGAAAAATTCTCCAAAAGCCAACAGATGACGAAGAATAATCGCTCTTTTTTCATATTTTATGAGACATGAGATGATCATATTATTGAGCGATTACGGAGGAAAATGTGGGGGCTGTTCCATGAGAATCTTCAGGTGTAAAATAAATCTCAACGTTTCTCACAAAACCACTCATTTTTTACGCAAATGAACGAAAATAACGGATTTAACTCTCAATCATTTAGTCATTTTTCGTTCTTCGTTACTCACATGGGGTGCGCAGCAGACCCCAAGCCTTTTTCCAATCATTTCACCAATTTCTCTACCTCCCTTAGATTCGGAGATATTCCTCGAAAATTCAGCAAAAAGCTAAGTCGATTTGAATCGTTTTACCGCTTCACGACTGAATTTTTCAAACCTTCACCCATTCACTCCCATCTTCTCCTAGTTTATAAAGTCTCCTTTTATATAAGAAAACGACATTAGAAAAATTCTCCAGAAATCGCCTGAATAACGAAGGGTCAATTAATCTCGCCCATATCACATTCTATCACCCCCGAAATTATCCTGACACCGAGTAATTGAAGACAGAATTGTCGAGAGAATTTTCAATCTAAAATTCTTCAGACAAAAAAGATCTCCCAGCATATTCTCCGGAAACCACTCGTTTCCAATATCCGTAAATGTACAATTGACAAAAATATAGAATTCAACTCATTACTGTTCCCCCTCCACTACAAATTATCGAAAAAATGTCAAGAGCTTTTTTATTCAAATCTTAATTAGCTACAAAAAAGATCTCTGACATTCTCCAATAAACAAAAATATTCTTCTCTCTTCAGACTCCACGGCCTCCCCACAGAAAGATCAGCATCACCTTTTGTATAAGTATTTACGAGAAATAATCATCGCGAATGTGTGAGTAGGCGAGGCTGGGGCAAAATGGACTCTTAACTTTTCTTTCAATGTTTATGCCCAAGAAACAATCTCATTAATTGAACTCAGCCTAGGCGCAAAACAAAAAGAAAGAATTGTATTTCACACAGGAACAAAAATTATCCTATTTTATAGAAAATTCAATGAGTCATTAATGTAAGATTTTAAAAGAAGTCAAAAGTACTCTTTTTGTTCCACTTGCCCCTATTCGTGTGGTCAATCGATTCGTTGTTCTCAAAAGTTAGTAACATTAGTATCACATTATCATTTTCGTATGAATCCAGACATGGGAGGTGGTCCCACAGGTCTATTGCTTATGGGTGCTGTAGGATCAACCCCCATTGCTGCATTTCCTCCCCCAGCATTTGGAAAACTGAACCCTTCAGCAGGCCCCGAAGGTCCGGGACTAGAAAAACTCGAATTATTAGGCGAAGGGCGTTCAATAGTCATAGTTTGCGGAGGCAATTGTGCATCAGCCTGTATTCCATTGGCGCCATATATCTCCTTCAGTATCAGTAGCATCGTATCCTCCGATTCCCTGAAGACAAATATAATTCCCCATTATTTAATGTTTCATAAATTCATACAATTCATTTAAGGATATCCAAGTATCTTTCACAGTGCCATACAAACTATATTTTACAGAATTATTATTTTTTAAACATTCGTTGTTGACAAATAAATAATTGAAATTGTTCAAACTTTCGGAAATCTTATTTTTTTTATTCTGAATATGAATAAATTTGTTACAATTCCGAACATATGATTTTTATAGAGGAAAATTGCTTGTTTATAAATTATTTACAGAAAATGCTCATAATTTTAAAAAATTGCAACTTTTTAATTATTTCATCAATATTTCTCCAACAGTAAACTTTCTTATTTTTTTTCAGACTTCAAAATTATTTTCTAATGGTTCAATGTCAAGACTCAATTTCAGACTTGCAAAAGTCAACTAATAAAATTATTGTAAAATGTCCGGAAGCCTAAGGTCGAATGGGGCACAAATAAAAGCTCTGATGTTAGACTAAAAAACTAGAAAAGCATTTAACTGGAGGAAAAATAGCCAAAGTACTTGGACATCCTAAAGCTAAAAAAACAGGGATTTACTTACCAGTAACCCACATGGCTAGTCATAGCGAAAATGTACTCGTTTATGTACTCAAACGGCGCCTCCTGGAGAACGTAATCGATACGTCTGCCCCCATTGAGTTGTCCAACTTTCAAATTAACCCCTCTCTCGTTCTCCCTGTCATCATCTTGTTCATTATCGATATTATGATTGTTACTAGTTGACTTTTGCATCTGCTCCTCAACAACTTTATCGATTTCTTGCTCAAGTGCGTGATTGTCCTGACGATGGAACATTGCCAGTTGGTAAACTGAATTCCAGGTGCTTCTGACTGAGTCTAAGAGCTTCTGCTTCAGATCAGCGCCCACTCTTGCCATTGTTTCCTTCAATTCTGTAATTCGAAAACCATAGGAACTACATTAGTTTGGGGCATCAAATAATCGACACAGGGAACGAAATTTCACGTACACTATCGGAAAAAATTGCAATTTCATTTAAATTTCATGGACCTCAGATTTTTTAGTATAAAAAAGTCATGGGATGTCACATTTCACTAAAAATGCAATGGAATTCCAAACGAAAACATTCCATTTGATGTCTAGGAATTTCGGTGAAATAATTGAACTGGAATTTACAGTTTGTCTTCATTTTCACATGAACTTCTGAATTTTCAATTACTAATTTCCTTGAAAATTTAATGGAACCATCACAAAATTAAATTTTTCAACCCAAATTTTTTTGTAACAGTGTGAACAGATGCCGAACATTGATTAGTTCCTATTCTTCATCTTCTATCCCTCTGAATTCAATTCAAATTTCAGTGAAATTCAATGGAATTCCAACTTTTTCAGCAGCAGGAAGATAAGAATTCCCCAAAATACTTGAACTTTCATTCAAAACATCAATATTCAATACCAAATCACGCAAAACTTCCTCATCATTTATTATTATCATCATAATTGAACTGAAAGTTGCATTTTCCATTGCTTTTTAAATCAAATATTGGATTTCCAAACCCGAAATTCCTTGAAATTTCAGTGAAACTAATTGTCCAAAATCTCGCAAAAGTGTACCAGAAATTTCAGTAAAAAAAAATTCTCAACACAATACCTAAATGCATTCGTTTCCTTCCTTTATGATGAGGAATGAGCATCGGTCTGTACTTGCAAGCCTCAGGATTGATGAGTGCTTCCATCCTGTATGCAACTGGATCGAATGGATGAAAGATATTGAAGAAAGCAGGACAAGTGGGTAGTTTGAAGTTTTCACCGAGCTTATCGATACCACGTACAGTGACAAACATTCCAATTGGACTGCCAAGGGCGAAGAACGCCTTGGGGAAGAAATTGAGATGTGGATAGACGATGAATGGCTGGCCAGTGCCTGCAGCACCCATGACATAACTTATTTTTCTGCTCAGGCGACGTTTGAGTATCGATCTGGGCATGGGTTTCAGGGATGAATTGAGGGCATTATCTCTCTCCTCGTCAGAGTTCTCGTCCTCCTCGTTGATTGTTGCATCAGGATCGGGTTTGCTCTCGTCTGCTGGTGCCTTCTGATGGCAGAGCAGATCGAAGAGTATCAAACTACCCAGTGAGTGACCCCCCACACAAACATTCCCTGTGAAATCTGGATTTCTCTCTCGGAATAGTGCGTTCAGCCTGTTCATCTCATTACCAACAGTCTGCATTATTGTTTGACAAAAAACTGGGCTTGTGTAGAAGAGAACGTCCAGTAATGTGTCATTAGTGAAGTGTCGCAATTTCGGTATGCTCTCCAATGTTATGGCTTTTAATTTCTTATCGATCCCAGTGTCCTCAGAGTGCAATGTTGCGTGCCACGATATCGGCAGTACTTCAATCCTATTTACAATCCCATGAGTACTGGCTGTTCGATAGTGTGATTGGATGAGCTGCAGGGATATACTTCGAAACTCGTCAACTGTTTTAACAAAAGGCCAATTAATGATCTTCAGGGTAACTGAAACTGACATGGACTGGGAGTTTATTATTTCTATGGTTCTCACCGACTTCCTCGACACTTCGGAATTTCAGGTCACAGACGCTGCCAACCCCGTGGACGAGAAACAGGAGGTGATCTATTTTTTCGGGTTCACCTTCCTCGATGTGAAATTCATCTACTCCACGTTTTACTACTTTTGGACGACTCGAGGTACCCTGTAAATACGTATCGCTCTCTGAATCCTGGGTGAACAAGATTCATGACACAATTGTTCGTTAGAATTTTTTACGATGAAAGAAGATTAAAAAGAGGGAGGGGTTTCGAGGGGAATAATCATTGCAATGGAATGGGCTTTGAAAATTACATTTGTTGAGATTTTTTTTTAGGTTCAAATATAAATGAGACGGAAATTTCAGAAATTAGTGGACTTTTCAATTATAGGGGAAAATAAGACGGTCTCCTCTATTATTGAATTATAGAATAGGGGAGTGTTTTTAATTGACGTCTCCGGACCAAACACATTGTTAGAAACAAAAATATTCATAGGTAGTTGATTATTAATTTCTAGGAGAGGGACATTGAATTCGATTTAGGGATAAAAAATACGAATTTCCAAATTTCGCTGAAAATTTAATAGAATTTCAAATTTTTGAATACCATGAAGACGAGAATTCTCCAACTCACTTAAAGTTGCAATTAAAACCTGAATATTCAGTATTGAATTATGCTGAATTCTCAATTAATGGAAAATTCAAGAATAAATCTACATGAATTTTGCTAATTTCTATTAATTTTCATGGAACAATTCAACCGATATTTAGTCTCCATTGAATTGCTGGTAGAAACTATGATTCATTTAAATTGTCAATGACGAAATTCCTTGAAATTTTAAAGGAACTATAATCTGACCAAAAGTTCCGACAATTGGACCGAAAATTTTACCCAAAAATTCTCAATAGTATAAAATCCATCGATTCCTCTCCTAAATAAAAACCCCAAACCTATAATTCTCACACCATTGAATTACGATTCTTGGAATTTTTTAGATAGAAAATTTCAAGTTTCACCTTGAAATTAAAATAGTTTCAAGCAACAAAATACCAAAACTTCTCAACTTATTTTAATTTTCAATTATAAGGGAAAACACGACACTCTCCCCTATTATAAAATTCAAGAATTGGGGCAAAGTGTCTTTGATCAGCAACATCTCCTGAGCGAACAATACGATTTGGTTAAAACAGGTCTCATTTAAAAACTTGAAAGAACATTTTGATAATTTGAAAAATCTGCAGATCCTCACGCCTCGATTCACATGAATTTCCTCTCAACAATTGAACCGAAGTTTACAAATTCCCTGTCCCCTAAAATTCTTACTTTTCAACGTCTCAAAATCCTGAAATGCCTCGAAAGTATATTCAAAAATTTCAGAGACGTTCACCGAGTTTTTCTCCCAAAAATTTCCAGCAGAATGAAATTCATCTCTTCCAAACAAAAATCCCAAACCCCTAATCGCCCCCATTCAATAGCAATTCCCCCTCGAACCCCCAGACCATAAAAATAGAATACTTACAGCGCTGGTGCCCCACGACGCGACGAGCTCAGGTGAGCTAGCCTGCAGATAATGAATTTGTATGCTAGCACTGTGAAAAATAATGTACTCTCCATTATTGAGTTCCACCCTTCTATTCCAATGATCATTGTTGCAGGCCTGTTTGTACTCCTCCTCGAGTCTAGCAGCAGTGCTCTCCTCATAGGGTGTGTACCTGGATTCCCCCGGGCCCTTGTAAAACCACGAGGCCCTCCTGACCTCAGTTGGCTCCCCAGACCAGTAAACAGGTACTCTCTGACGCTTCAGTATTTCAACATCATAACGACCCCCATCAGTGGCAACTGTTGTCTCCGGTGTGATATCACTGGAATTATGTACCCCCTCTAAACTCAAACTATCATGCATTGAAAATGGACTCCACAGTACTTTATTCTCAATATTTTTACGATAAAACCAGTGATGATAAACTGGCCTGTACACCATTTTTTTATCACTACCAGCTGCCAAATTGTGAAGACTCGGTGGAATAGTATCGCTCTGCTGACAACGCCCAATCGATGGATTTATCGATGTTTGAATGGTATTAAGTGTTGCTGTACCCGTTGGTTCGGGCATTTCACTCGTTATTAAAGTTGCCCGAGGGGTAGACCAGTTGGCACTACCAGCCGTTGATGAAATGAATCCATCGCTAATTGCACTTTGCGTGTTAATTTCACACTGACGAGGTAAATTATGTACACTTGAATTTAATTCAAACTCAACAGGATTGTAAAACGATATCTGGGACAGTGGCTGCGCTGATTGGCTGGTCTTTACAGATGCCACATTTTTCGTATCGAAGAATGCACTTATGCTCGGCTCACTGTTAACGTGCGGAAAATTGCTCGTGAATAAGTGATTCCCCGGCTCGACTGCTGGATAATCAGCATTCAGGGGCTGCGATTGACTCTCAAGAGCAGTTTCTTGCTGAAAAATATCTCGTGGCGAGGATCTCTGCGAGAGATCTATCTCCGCCAGATCTTCAGTGATTGCCGATGCACTCCGTAAAGTATCATTAACAGGTACTTTTGGCGGATTTATCGGGGGAAACTGAGACAAATCGCTGAGTGATGGCTGCTGGGGCTGATAATTCGTGTCGAATGTCGAGGCTGATATGAAGTAATTCGCTGGGGTATTGTGGGGGGTCACGGGGTCTCTCAATGCACTACTTGTTGGAATTTCTTGGGGTCCAGATATCGCCGAGATTGATGGATTGCTAGGGGGTTGTGCCACCGCTGGGGGAAATACGAGATTCTCATCAACTCGGGGAGCTACCAATCCCGGGGTGAAGAATTCAGTGTGGCCCGGGGGAATCGGGAGATTTTGAATGCCCAGAGACGGTGGTGCCGAAGATTTTGCTGTGCTCGATGTTAAATCCGGGGGTGGGGCGTATTTAAGACGTCGCTGGTTACCAAGACGATACGATACCGAACCTGCAAGCCAAGTGTTATATGAAATTACCCAGCGGTTGGGTAAATTAAGTGAGGTATAAACGTGACAATTTAATTGACTTACCAACTGCTTGGGGTGGGCAGGCGAGGGCGGGGGGTGGGGGGAGGGCTGGTTGCTGTAGTGATGGTTCGNGACTTACCAACTGCTTGGGGTGGGCAGGCGAGGGCGGGGGGTGGGGGGAGGGCTGGTTGCTGTAGTGATGGTGGACGAGATTGATCGTTGAAATTCTCAAGTGGTGGAGGATGATGGTACTCCTGCGGTGGAAAGTTTGATGGGTTATTTAGAGACAGCCTGTCTTCTGTTGAATCGGTCGGGGCGGCACTGGGTGGTGGGGCCTGTTGTCCTGTTAGCGATGTGAGCGAGAGATTTGGAAGAGATGAGAGGATTGAGGTGAAGTAACTGGAACGGTGGTGGGAATCGGTGGGGGGAGACTTTGCGGCACGGGGGGGTAAGGGGATTTCGGTTATGGGGGGCGGAATATTTTGCTCGGCTAGCGGGGCCTGGAGAACCGCCGGTGTTGAGGTGGACTGCTCACCTTGAAGGAGATTATCTGAGACAGAAAACAGAGGGAGTTTAGAATTGGGGGGTTCGTTTTGACGGTTGGGGAATTTTCGGGGTTTTAGGAGGGGTTGATGGTTTAAGAAAGATTTGGAAATTATTATTATTATTATTATTATTATTATTATTATTATTATTATTATTATCATTATTAACGAACGGGCGCTTCGCGCCCGTCGCTAGATTCGTTTCTGCTAGGACAAACTGCCCAGTAGATACAACGTTTGTTCTTTAGCAATTGAGAAAAAAAATTGATGACAAAAAAATCGCCATTCAGGGGTTGAGAATCACAACAGTTACTGAAAATTCAAAGCAACAATTCACACTTCAGTATTTTTTGCGTAATTTCCTATCAAAAAGTAGCTCGTCCATCTACTGGGTAGCTTACCCTATATTACTTTATTTAATTTTTTGCGCCTTTTCCGTCTTCAAAATTAGATTACGTTAATTTCATTCATTCTTATTCTTGATATATATATTTTTGGCAGCTGTAAAACTGCACCTTTTACGGCCCCACCAACGAATAAACCCATCAAATATCTTTTCGAATAATGAAGGAGTGCCCATCAATTCGATTTCTATCCTTGTCTTTTAATAGAATGATGAATGTAATGAATAGCAAAAATCACGAATTAGAGACTGAAAATTTTTAAAAAGCGATAATCGGCTAGAAAATGGAAAAATTTGTTTTTCTTCATTTATATATTTTCAAGTTTTATGATCTCATTTTAACGAGACGAAATGAAAAAATGCAAAATAACGTGAGCTTGAAGAAATAAAAAAATTAATTTTATATTTATTAATTTAATGTCTCCGGAAAGTTTTAAAATCGATATATTTTTTCCAATAATTCCAGAATACTGATTCGATTTCTAACCTTGTCTTTTGACACTTGCACAGTTAGAAAATTACTCTTGAAATTTCCCGTAAAAAATCTTAAACTTAAAATTTTTTTTTCGATATTCAATGCAATTCCCATATCCAAATCCACGCGATAATAGAAATCATCAGGAGTTGTGAAAAACCAATAATTACTCGACATGAAAAACTAGATCCATTGAATTTTCAAGATCAATCATAAACCTTAAAAAATTCACAATTCTGAATTCAGAATTCAGATGCAGCTGTTACTTAAATTTCAAAAAATTCCTAACGCGATTCCTTCACTTCACAGAAGGTAATGGAATTCCATTTATTCGGGACTGGGAAATCGCTGGAGTTGAGGGAGTCGGCTCACCTCGGAGGTGACTATCTGAGTCAAAAAAGAGGACATTCGATAATTCTACCTTTATCATTCTAATGTTTGAGGACCATTCGTGATTTTAGTCATGCCTGACGTTTTCTCTATAATAAAAGCGTTAGTAATGAGCACATTCATGGGCCACGAGGCAAATGTTTGACAGGATACTCGCGAGGTGAGAGAGATAAAGAAGATATTATTTTAAAATACCCGGTACTCGTTTTACCAAGATTTACTTTACACACAGTGATGAGTCTATCCATACCCATGACACTGTGGTGTCAAGACGTCAATAATACGATGTTACAATTGTGCAATACGTCACTGTATTTGTAGCACTTTTTTCTCTTTTTTTTCTTCCTATACCGGAAACGCGGTGTTATAAATACAGGTGCCCTACCCAGGGTGTTAGTCAGTGTTGCTCAAAATTCTGGAGGAACGGGGTATTTTTCACTCGGTGAAATCATGCAGAGATTTTTTTTAATCATTGCTGTGTGCGTTATTTGCACCAGTGGTGATGGAACGAATGGAAGTGTGAGAGTGGTTAATAATGCATTGCAGTTCAAAGTGCCTAATGAGGCGAGAATCGATGATACCCAGTGGATTGTTATTAATCGTACGAGTCAGTCGAGAAATAAAATTTTCACTAAGAAGGATGAGTGTTCGAGGTCACATTTTTTATGCAATGAGAATAATTATATTTTTTTTGCGAATTGTTTATTGTCTGATTGGAAGTTATTTACGGGTGAATAATAATTTATGGGTTTTAAACAGATACTGCATTGAGGGGGAAGTCAACAATTCACAAGTGCGAAATCTGCGGAATAAAAAGATCAATTTTATTTGGCGCATCAGCCAGGCTGTTCCGGAGTTTAATAGTGAGTGGAGTATGAGTAATTTTAATTAAAAAGGAAGTGGTAAACCGTGGTTAGTGTCATTTTCCAGAGGTAAATGGACACTTGGAGAAATATTGATGATTCAGAATCAAATTCATCGATTGAGTTCAGTATGGATTGGTTATCCTTGTGGAATAAAATCGTCGCATTTAATGGGCAATTCAACGAGTTGTGAATATGAAAAAAAATGATAGAGAAACGTAGCGGATTTGGGGGGGGGGGATTCTAACGGTTTTTAGATGATTCTATTAACATATTACGCAGTTCCCTGCATTGTTTTTCAATAGAAAATAGAAATATTTCCTATTCTGTTTTTTCTATTCTATTCTATGTTTTTTAATAGAAAATCTGAAATAGTTAATAGAAATAAAGAAAAAGGTTGTGGTGCTTTTATAAAACTCATTTCATTGAGATATTTTCTGTAAAAATTCCTTTGGAAAAATGTTCAAAGTTTTTCTAGTGCGTTTTCTTTTCGATCACTAAAAAATTCAAGCGAAAAACTTCGGAAATTCCAAGATTTATCCACAAAAGTCATCTGGATTAGATACTTTCCATAAAGAAATCAAAATCTTTTTATTTTTCCTATTAAACATTTCTTAAGACAAGCAAAATTTCCAATACTCTTTCAGAAGACAGATTACCAGTGAACGATCAAGAACCTAAAGTCAAGGATTCAAATGGACTCCAAATATCGACAGAAAAATGTGAAATTCAGTTATCAATCGGCTGTAAAAGCCCCACGCTCGGAGTAGAAGAAGAAAACACGAAGGAATTGGTGAATATTTGTGAATTCAGTAGTCTATCGATAAAATAGTCAAATAGAGAAGAATGAGTTACGAAAGAAGTCATTGCAAAGATTCCGCTATTTCCCTTGAGGATGTTTAGTAATTTAGTAACCCCTTTAGCAAATATCTAATCTTCCTGGGGGATAGATTCGAAAATAGCGTGTTAGAAAATAGCCCGTGCACCTCGGGCGGGGAAAGAATGACTTCCCGTCCTTGTTCCCCAACATACTATTCTCTCAGCGTAATCCATGAATTAATTCATCAATCTCTCTATATAATCGAAAAATAAGGAGGTTTAAAAATTCAGGAGTACTCCCCCCCCCCCCCCACCCACCCAACCCCCTATATGGGGGGTACCCATATATAGGGGGGTAAAAGAAATTCGGATAATGGAATTAAAAAAAAAACCTACGGTCACACCCGCTCGGTCGGACAGGGAGGGGGGGGGGCGAGCGAAGCGAGCGGGGGGCGGGGCGAATCCCCCCCCGCGTTGGCGAGCGGAGCGAGCAGGGGGTGATGCCCCCTAGTAGTTAACTAAAAAAATATTTCCCATTCACCCTAGGAAATACTGAGGAGTTCCGCTATTTCCCTTGAGGATGTTTAGTAATTTAGTAACCCCTTTAGCAAATATCTAATCTTCCTGGGGGGATAGATTCGAAAATAGCGTGTTAGAAAATAGCCCGTGCACCTCGGGCGGGGAAAGAATGACTGCCCGTCCTTGTTCCCCAACATACTATTCTCTCAGCGTAATCCATGAATTATTTCATCAATCTCTCTATATAATCGAAAAATAAGGAGGTTTAAAAATTCAGGAGTACTCCCCCGCCGCCCCCCCTCCCCACCCACCCAACCCCCTATATGGGGGGTACCCATATATAGGGGGGTAAAAGAAATTCGGATAATGGAATTTAAAAAAAAACCTACGGTCACACCCGCTCGGTCGGACAGAGAGGGGGGCGAGCGAAGCGAGCGGGGGGCGGGGCGAAGCCCCCCCCCCGGGTTGGCGAGCGGAGTGAGCAGGGGGTGATGCCCCCTAGTAGTTAACTAAAAAACTATTTCCCATTCACCCTAGGAAATACTGAGGAATAGCCACCTCACAGACTTCACATCCAACAAATTCACCGTCAATCCCGACACAGATCAACTGCAATTAAGAATCGTGGGAAACGTCACGTGGATACTCCTCGAGATACCCACCGGTAAGTTAGCGCAATGCACCCAACATATTGAAGGCCACCTGCAACGTTCACGTCCACGTGGTTGCATGCCCCCAGTATACAGAACTGCGCGCACATTCGATGCAGCATCGACCGCTCAGAAATAAACCTTCAACGAAATCAACGACACATGCATAACCACATTTACAAGTAAAACATTCACCAGCCTATGCAGTACGATACATAAACGCTCACCCTGATACTCCCAAGTATCATCTAAAAACAACTATTTTCTAAATAAAAACCACTTGATCGCGTCACTGACGATTTAGAGATAGAGATACGAGAATTTTTGATACAAATGTTGGCTTCATGCACGTCACGACTCGCGTTTGCATTTTATCACAGAAAAAAAGAATACGCTATGAAAGGTTACATATGTCATGCATATAAACATGCAATAGCATCTCCTTTAGTTGTTGCATCAACTTCCACGAGAGAAGAATTGCATTCAATTTTTTCTTCTGATGAGTTTATGAAAATAAGTTTGAAATAAAATGAAATAAGATAACAATATTATTGACAGAAGAAAGGAGAAGAAGGCCAATGTGAATGTGAAACAAAGAACACTTTCGTAACATCAAAGAGAATAAATTGAAATTTTTCTTCTAATTTTCTCAAGAGCAATTGTTCATCAGAAAATCATTGATAAGCGGTGGATTTTGCTGTCATACGCACTTTTGTACATGAATTTAACGAAACACTGGAGATACTGCCCTAGAAAATAATGATAAATGAATGAAAAATAGGGAGAAACAGGGCTGAACCCCTTGGGCTGTCACTGGCGAGGGATGACAGGAATGGGGTGAATCTCGTCGCGAACAACCCTCCACCAGGTGGCTGGCTACTGAAGCTCAGAGGGAGGGAAAATTCAACGTACAGTCTCACTGTTTCACAAGTTCTTCGAGTGGAAAATCCAGAGCCACTTCCTGCACTTGAGGAGGATGATAATCTCGATGGAGGTAAGCAATACTCGAAAACTCTCTCTTGTTTAAATTCCCGGCACTCCCCACATGTGAGTCATCCCGTGAAAGTGTCCCGCACAGGTGAATTTTCCGTCATTTCTCACTGGAGATTTGGGGAAAACACAGGGATGACGTGGTTCCCAATGTCTAGCATAGCGTTACTTGGAAGTTAGAAAACAACGATTGGAAGTCAGATGCGCACTCGTCAGCCGACAACATTCCACTGACAATGAGAGGGAAACATTGGCTCACAGCCTGCTTCATTTTGCGAATGATTATGCAACTATCTCCGTGTTTCTCTATTTTTCTCTTCTCGATGTTGCTCTTTGACCGCAGTGTGTAAATGTAACGTCAATAATGACTGCGGGCAAAAACTATTCTTGAGACATTTTTATTTCCTCATGACGAACAGAGGAAACATGATGTTTGAATTAAAAATATTGGGGGAATGAGAGAAATTATTTCGACCGGTATATTCATATTCTTTCTGTTCCCTCATTTAGGGATCCGAAAAGTCGAAAGACAGTATATAGCATTCGACTTTCCGGGTAATTTATACCTTAAGGGGAGACTTTTAAAAGTCGCGGGCTATTGCAGTGAGATTTCTCATGGATTGAAGGTCCATTATTATGTCTAAAAACAAATAATTAGCGCAACAAAATCAATTCTTTACTGTTCGTTTGCCCAGCAGGCGTTAAAAAAAGGTTTTTGTTTCAAAATTTTTGACAAAATGTGTACAATAACAATTATGAATTAGTTTTTTGAAATTCGTCTCCCACACAGCCAATTTCTTTTTTTTGTAATATAAAAAATGGCACGATTCATGTAAAATAAGCAGAAAAATTATCCTTAAAATATTTGAAATATATTCTCGATTCTTTCAGAAACATTTTTCGGGCTATTTTACATGAATGGTGAAATTTTTTATTTTAAAAATTAAGAAATTAGCTGTGTAGGAGTTGAATTTCAAAAAACCAATTCCAATAAACACTCCGTTTTTGTGCACTGATTATTGGTTTTTAGGCATATATAATCAATCTACATTATAAGTGAGATTGAATTCCATCTATTAGGAAAAGAATTATGAAATTTTAAGTTTCCATCGAATGTTGAAAAGAGTTCACAGATTTTAAGGGGAAATGAATGGAATCTTCAAAACTAATCTGAATTTCGAATTGAACATGAAAATTCAATATTAAATTAACTCCAATTTCTTTCATTTTTCGTCATTTACACTGAATGATTCAGTAGTGAAGCGGTAAACCGAGTTAAGTCGATTTTGACTTTTGATCAGTTTTTGATGAATATCTCAGAACCTAAGAGAGATAGCAAAATTTTTCTCATGACCTTTTTTGTAGAACCGATTAAGAGCTATAAAAAGGTCACGACAAAAATTTTTCTATCTCTTTTAGATTCCGAGATATTCGTCAAAAACTGGCCAATAGTTAAAATCGACTTAACCCGGTTTACCGCTTCGCTACTAAATTAAACTCTAATTTACACTTTCGACTGATTTTCTCATTAAAGTGTGATTTTCCATTGAGACAATTTACCTAAAAATTCAGTGCAAATGTAAGTTTTTTAAACAATTTTCAATATTTATACCGGAATTATGTTAGAAAGACGACCTGCTCTGCTGCGGAAATTGATGAGATATTGAAAAAATCAATTCTATTCCTCGACCAACAGGAATTATTCTTTTCTGAAATGAGAAGAATATTCTCAATTCAAGTGAATTGTGTCAACCCAGAATTTCCTAAATGGAGTTTCAATAGTTATTTTTTCGCAGATATAGAGACCGACGGAATCGTGATTTTTCTCGACGACCCTGAAACCCCCGAGTCCCGGCAAGCACCATTGAAATTTCCGAGAGAATCTTCCGATCCCGAGGAGAATAAAAATTACCCCAGGACTGTTGTTTTTCGAGAGCCACTCGACGAGTTATCAAAGTTTCAAATTGAGGAGAATGCAGACGCTGAGCTTCGAGACTTGTCACGAGCGAGTGATTTAATAACAAGGGGAAAGAATGTGCCAGTGGATGTGGCCCCAGAAACGACACTCCTTGTCCGACCGGGAACTTTGCACACTGTTATTTTTACAGTGACTAATAATCAGCCTTTCGTTATCATGCACGAGTTCCAGGCTAGGAGCACTCAATTCCAAATTAGGGGGATTGAACCTCGAATGTTAGTACATTTCATCACTAGTATTCATTCAGTAGTAAACGAAACAGAAGAATTTTTGTCTTGAATGAAAAAATTCGACTGTGAAAAGAAGTATTCGAAAATTATGTTCAATAGTTCCAAACGTATTGGACAAATAAATTTTTAAATACTGTTTTTCGTTTGCACCTTCAAACGATTGGAACAAAATGTTTTGTTTTTTCAATGAATCAAGGATTGGGCAAACTGTTTTTTTTTCAATTTAGACTGAAAATTTGCGTTTTCTCGCTTGCGATTCCTACTATTGGTTAGTTTTCAAAGAATATCGCGGAATGTACGGTAGATAGAAATTTTTTTGTTATAATCTTTTCTGTAGAACGAATTGACAGCTATAAGAAAGGTTATTACGAAAATTTCGGTATCCCCCTTAGATTCGGAGATATTGCGCGAAAACTCAGCTAACAGCTATACTGTTGAAAATTTTGGTCTGAATTTTTCATGTTAAATTCCGGAAATTTTTATTGTGTCCAAGTGTCATTAAAATTTCAGGAAATCTTGTCATTGAAAAATCAAATATTCCGTCGATTTTCTGTTCAAACTATCTAAAAATCAATAAAATACTTCTTTTTCGAGTTCAATTATTCTATGAAAAATTAGAATAATCGGGAAAATTCAGGGAAAAATTGAAAATTCATGTAATTTTGTTCCTGAATATTCCTGTTCCACTGAAAATTCAATTAAGTAGTGAAACTTCCCTTTCACTCCCACTGAAAACTCATGAATTTCCTTGAATTCTACCTAAAACTAGAAATTTCATAACCGTTTTTCCCATAAATTCGATGCAATGCCATTCTTATGAAAATTACTATCATATTTTCCATGAAATTTCCAAGAATTTCTAACAATGTAAGTCGATTTGAATCATTTTGCCGTCTCGCTACTGAAATTGCAATAATATTTCAAATTTAAGAACACTATTCTTAATTTAAGTAACAATTTGGACGACGAGTAACCTCGTCAGTAAAAAACCTAATTGGGAACATTCGCGTCGATTGATTGATTGAAAAAAAATTTTCATTTTCCAACAGCTGGTGGATTCAGCCCGGCGAAACAATTAAAGTAGGCGTACACATTGAGGTGCCAAGGATAGAAGAAAGTGTGGTCAATACTGTAACTCTTCACGTAGACCGAAGCCAAAATCTGGAAGCTGTTGAAAAATCCGCCTACACGTATCTCCAGAGTCCATTGAACGCGGTGAGTAAATGGGAAATTTTATCAATACCGAGAAAACTAGTGATAAGAAATTCACAGTCTACAATTCGTCCCCATTCGTCATCTCTAGATATCGGACAGCGCAAAACCAACAATTGATTACGAGTTCAACAATAATTGCGCCGGAAGACTGCGCCAAGAGCGATGCGAAAATAGCTTTTGGACTGTCGACATTACCGTGACTGACGATAATTCAGGTAAATAGTGGTTAATCCTCTGGCAGTGCCTAATCGCACGCTCCACGGTATATTCTCCCTCACATCTTGTCTGACGTCTCTGCTATGAACTCTGGTTTTCAACTCTGCTTTTCAATCGAATTGTTGTTGAGAAAACGTTCCCATAAAATGTAAAAAACTATTTATTTCATCATTTATTTGCATTTAGTCAACTATTTGTCAACTATTTATTTCATTTTTTGTTTGCGTTAATCTAGACTGATATTCGTATTCAACGAATTAATATTTTCTAGAAATTATTTACTAGTCTACTAGCATATCACTTATCAATTGATTCGATGTGTCTAGTGTATTGTCTAGATTTAATTTGAGAAGTAAAAGTTGAGGGTCCCCGATCTCCCATATATCCACGGGAAAACGTCCCGTATATCCACGGTCAGAGTTATCGTGGAGCGTGTGAATAGACACTGCCTAATCCTCTTGAACATTTCTTTCGTCTAACACGATTATGCGATACTTCAGGGCTGAAGAGGGTGACATCGCAACCGAGTGGGGTTCATCCAAATCGAGAGTTCATTGCTGGCACTAGAAACGCAGTGCATTTCCTCTACACGTCCTCGTGTTGCTATACAACAGTGGAGGTTACAGCAACAGATGTTGTGGGCAACATTCATTCGCGCACGATAGACGTCACTGGTACAGATTTTTTTCTTACACCAATTGAAGAGGGTGGGAAAATGAACCGTTGTTGATTGTCGATAACACTAAATCGACAAACAATTGCGTACGATGAAAATTAATGAAAAATAAAATTGCAGGCGGCTGTATCTTCGATACAGCTGTAATTGGACGTGATGAATACGTCCATGGTCTTTCGATCTTTCTCGAATTTCCTAGAAACTTCTTGAATTTTTTCGAAATTTCAAGAAACTTCTCGAATTACCTCGAAATGTCTAGAATTTTCTAGACTTCCGACAGATGGCGCTGCACATAAGGACCGTTTCCCAAAATGCCCCCCATATTGAAACCATAAACGTATCCACGACAAAATCTAGCGCATCTGGTAGAAAATTTCATTGAACTTGAATGCAATATTCAGCAGAAATTATTTTTCATCACTCGTGCGTAAAGTGGGATTTTGTCCCGAGATTGAAAATTTTTATTGCAAAAGTAGATCTAGTCTTTTCAACAAAATTTTATTGTCTGTGCAGCAATAGATTTTGATGCCGTTTATTCCGTTGCAGATTGTTTCAGTAATTTCCCGCCTTAATATTTCTAGAAAAAAAAATGCGCACTGTTGAATTTTTCTGGAAAATATTTTCTATAAATAATTTTTATTTGAAAAAATGAACGCAAAAGATGTAGAATTTTTCAAAAGAATGGACGGAAAACTAAAAGAAATTTCAATACATAGAAGTCTAGTAGGAATTCAATAGAATTTTATGTCAGAGGCGCTAGGTTTATTCGTGAATTTTTTCCTCTTTCATGTAAAATTTAAAATAAGAGAAAGTGCAGCAACATGAACACTTCCAAATTCCAAAAAACAGCTCAGTGGTGTCCACTTTGGCCTATGTCCCTCCTTTCAACTTACAAATTCATGAAATTCTATTCATGTTTTTTTCTTTCAGCCTGGGACAACTTGTCGACGGGTGAAATTGTAGCTATCGTAATTGGTAGCTTATTTCTACTCTTCATCATCGTACTTCTCATTTTGCTATGTATCTACTGTGCGCGTAAACGCAAGAGCGCCGACATTTCTTATTCCCAAAGATATGGATCGAGAGGGGGGCCCGGTAGTAGAGCGGAAGGGACTAATTTTTAAATTAATCCAGCATTCAGATTGACTTTCCTAGCACTAAAATCGTAAATTAATGGAAATTAATCAAATCTATTTCAATAATTCTCTCTAAAAAACAAATTGTCTATTTATATTATACATCTAAGCTTTTTTTTTTATACACAGCGGAGCAAGACAAAAAAGCAGAATTTTCTAGAAATATGAAGCGAAAATGTATTGGATTCTTCATTTACATGAAATAAAATAATTTATGGGCAAAAAGAATTGCATGTGGGATAGCAGGGAAATAGACCTTTGCACAATCAAATTTCACACAGACAAATGCCCAACATTTCACTCTAAATTCTTGTCTGAAACAAATTTGATTGGCAGAATTATATTTTTTCATCCATGCTCAATTGCTGAATTTGTTCCTGAGTTATCTACATGAAAAAACACCTAATATTATCTTCTTTGCCATGAAGTGTAAACTATGTTGGCCACCAAAAATTTCAATTTAAGGTGTTTTTAAGGATTCAAAAGTCTAACAATAATATTCGCATTTTTTTTTCTAATACGAACGAATTTGCATGACTTAAAAATGCTTGAAACCCCCTAAACTCCTCTAAATCGAATCTTCAGCTTCGTCTCTTCGCTTTATTGTCACCATCTTCAGCATTTAAGGAGACTGTTTCGCCGCAACAATCAGATAAGATTAGATTAATGGAAATGATTGAATCTACCTGGATATTTACTTCTGTGATCATTCATTCATATCAGACATAAATTTTCTCAAAATACAACCGTTTTGCATTAGAGAGAGGCATTTTTCTAAATGAATACGAATGCCACTGGACCCCAGAAAACTGCAATTATGCTCTTTGCGAAGTGCAAACTAGCGGAATGTTAGTCAGCAGAAAATTCAATTTTGGGGGATTTTTCAGGATTCAAAAGTCAAACAATAATGTAAGCATTTTTTTTCTAACATGAACGAATTTGCATGACTTAAAAATGTTTGAAAACCACTAGTTTCGATTAAACTTAGATTGAACTCTGAATCTAATCTTCAGCTTTATCTCTTCGCTTTATTGTCACCATTTCGAGGATTTAAGGAGACTATTCCACCCCAAAAATCAGATAAGCTTAGATTAATGGAAATGATCGAATCTACCTAAATATTCACTCCTACGACCATTCATTGATAACAGACATATAAACTTTCTCAAACCACAACCGTTTTGCATTAGAGGTATATTTCAAATGAATACGAATCCTGCTGGAACCCTAACTCCATTCGGACAATTTCCTCAAGAGACATCAGTTTCAAAATTTCGTTCTGTTCCACTCTCTACCCATGTTCAAACGAAAGTTTAAATCGTATCAATGACCCCGCCCAACCTGAAATTCATTTCCCTCGAAAAAGTTCATCCTACCATGCAACTCATGACGAACCGGCTCACTGACAACAGCTGGAGTGACAGGCATCAGTAAATTGCTTCCTCCAAAATCATCGAACGAGAATCCTTGACCAGCAGTCAAGAGAGGATTTTTAATTTTTCGCGAGTGATCACCCATATTGTACGTGACAATGAGTCCAATATCCACAGCATTACGCGGCACAACAACCGAACTCACACGAACTCTCACTTGTTACGCGAGATGATTCATCGAATCCTATTCACGATTATTTTGACTCGTCAAAATTCCGGGAAAATCCTGAACCTGTCGAATCCTCCACGTAAGCACGTGAGGCGAATCGAACACACGGATGACCATATGTACAGGGCTCACCAGTGGAGCGTAGGATTTTTCGATACACAGTAAAAGATCGATATTGTGTATCGTATCGAATTATATGGTTTGATATCGATACGGCAATGTATTGCTGTAGCATTTATCGATACACAAAATATCGATATTTTCTATGCTTCTAGTGGGAAACATGTAAAAAAAACAGTTTTTTTTTCTTTTGGAAATAATGTATTTTGGCCATTCTTGATAATGTATTTTTGGCCATTCCACTGCCATGAGCATTCATCAGCGGCTTCTCAATTCTCAACGTAATCTGTTGCAACGTCCCAACGTTGAATTTCGTAGATGGCACTATTATCGGCCATTAAAAATCCGCGAGATTCATATTATAGTTCGGAAATGATTTTAAAAATAATATTTTTAAAATGTTGTAGGAAAGGGTGGGGTAAACCGGACTCTTTGGACTTTTTTAAAATTCTTTCAATTGAAGGCCCGAGTTTGTAGCAGAGATGTCAGACAAGATATGAATGTTTTCTTGGGCTCAAATGAAAGAGCGGCTGGAGAAATGGCGTGCTGATGCCTCTAAAGATGACAAATGTCTCTAAAGATGATGTCTGTTTTCAATTGAAAAGCAGAGTTGTGACAACATTGTCCAGTGGGGTCTAGGGGTCTTCCCTGGTTCAAATCCATCTTTAGAGGCCCTAGCACGCCATTTCTCGACCCGCTCTTTCATTTGAGCCCAAAAAAACATTCATATTTTGTCTGACATCTCTGTTACAAACTCTGGTCATCAACTCTGGTTTTCAGTTGAAATTGGAATTGTTAATTTACACAATAATAGGAGTGCATTGACGATTTTTTCTTGACTCGCAAAAATCTTCAAACAATTTGCTATCGATTGGTGATAAAATTTTTTGGAAATAATGGAATAGAGGGGATAACGCCTTTTTTTCAGAGGTGATTTTTCAAAAATTTATTTAAAAACAAGTACTAACTAGCAAATGTTTTTTATTAGCTCGCAATTTTCTTCAAAACTACTTCAATGAGGAAAAAAATACAAATTTGGAATATCTATACATGAGGGGCTAATTGATCGGATCTATCATTTGTGCTATAGTGGGACACATGGTGCCATCCATTATTAATATCGACTGCAAATAAAACAAATGCCATTTCTACTCTACCGACACTGTTTGGCCGACTGCAAGGATGTTTGACAGATGTGGTTTGGACAGTTTTTTTTATGTCCACAAGCCTGTGTACAGTCGAGGATATGTGCAGTCGGGGAAGTATGAACTGATATGAACGGAGCCCCCTCAGTTCTGTTTATTTCGAACGGTTCTCTGCCACATGTGTTCGACACGTTCGCTCTCCTTTGTTCATTGTAGTTAGTTAAGGTTAGTTAAGGTTTCTGGCTCCGGCTGTTTCGGACTCATGTCCACAGTCTTCTGGCCGTTTGTTCATTGTATATATCTCTGGACTGAGAGGGCCTAAAACCCTCTGAGGGGAAAACTTGCGACGTCACACGCTCCCCTTTTTCCCTTGGGTTTCCTTTTCCCTTTCCTCTGGGCCAGGTTTGAGAGGGGGTCCGTGCGCATGCGTAGGGGCATTTAACGCCTCGGACGGCCATGAGTGGATTCATCAAACAAACCGGCACTACCGGCAGTCTCGTCGGTATTTAACAACAAGAGCCCACGATGGGGGTCAAAGATTTGTGGAATGTCATTGAGTCCTCCTGTGATACTGTTTCCCTTGACACATTGAAGAACAAGACCATTGCCATTGATTTGGCTGGCTGGGCGGTTGACAGCCAGTGTCTTAAGGCTGCCAATGATGCGCAGATCAACATGCACCTGAGGTGGGTGTAAACAGTCGGTGAGGTTATGTTTTTGTTTTGATCCACGAGAGGTGACATGGGTTCTTCTTATTTTATTTTTATGGCAGTGACTAATATGTCTTGAGGTCGAGGTGACGGTTGTCTGAAGATTTTGGAGTTATTTTCTGGTTCTCGGAGGGTCAGATGACGTCTGTACTCAGGCTGATCCTTGTGACCCTTTAGCTCTTGGGGGTCATAAATTTCCGGTCCAACCTCTTCGTAAAACAAATAAAATAACAAATAAATCAGTACGATGGATCAGAGATTGAAAAATAGAGCATGTTTACCGGATAATGTTTTGAATGCTTCATGCGCATTTCATTTATAATGAACAGAATAGATACATCCATTATGATCTGAATAGATACCTTCAATTTTTTTTTAAACACAGCAATAGTTTATTGAGTATAAAACGAAAAGACTGTATTCAACATTTTATTCGTGTATATTAATTCGTTTTCTCTCTTTGAGCGACTCACTGAGCATCTCTCTCTCTCACTGAGCATCTCATCAAATTCTATTATGCCCACAACGTTAATTTTTTATTTTTGGGAGTTTTTAACACTATTTCACCATTCAGCGCAGGTCAATTTATTTCGGGTTTTCAATAAGAATTTCCGAATCTCGAATTTCCCTTAACCAGCCAGCAATTAACCTGTTCACCCTAGTTCATTGAATTTTGTTTATTTCGATCAATGGCTCTAGGCCTTTTGCAGATTATAGTCCGTTTAATAAAAAACCAAAAGTGATCAGTATTTTATTCGTTTAACTTCATTTTTCTCTCTTTGTCCGACAAATATCTACAGGATGAATAGTCCAACATACATGTAAGTGAACTAAAGACTCCCTTCAAAAATTTCTGTCAATTCCCATTTGATTCATTTCTTTTATTCGTCTTTCAACTATGGAATAAGAGTGTTGATTCATTTGTTAAACTCGTCTCATCAATATTTTCTGACCAAGTGGTACGATTGGAATGAATGGAGTTGCTTTTTGAGGCCTGAAAAATCAAAAATTATTCAACAATCATTCAGTTTCATTCTGCTGATCGTGAGTTATTATGAATCAAAAACGGTCCATTTTACCCTTTGTCTATTAATTTATTTTGAATTAATGGATGCAGATTGGCTTCAGAGGTCTGCAGCAGTTTCAAAAATGGATACTTGAATAAAAGGAAGACTTCTTATCGATGATCTAAATTTAGAAAACTTGATTAATGTTACCCCACCCTCCCCTGAATCAATCTCAACATTCTCATTTATTTCCAAAACAAATAACTTGAGAATAAAATTCCAGAAGACGTTTTCTGCAACTGGAAAGATTCCCTCCAAAAACTGTTGCTATATATTCCTAAAATCTCTCGTTCCGTTCAATTGATTCTCTACTTCTATTCCTTTGTTTTTTATGTTTCCAGGAATTTATTCTACAGAACAAAAGCCCTCCTCCTACAGGGAACAATCCCTGTATTTGTTCTGGAAGGAAAGCCACCAGAATTAAAGAAAAAAGTCATAGCCGAGAGGCTGAACATCAGAGAGGGGAAGAGCAAAGATGCTGAAATTAAAGATTCGAGATGCAATCGTCGAGGATTGAACAGAATTCTGAAGGCCTGCGAAAGGATGTTGAATTTGATGGGATTGGAGTGTGTGAAGGCACACGGGGAGGCTGAAGCTATGTGCGCTTATCTAAACGCAGACGGGGTAAATCCACTCTCTTTCATTCATAAGTCATTTCAAAGATGCAGTCTAAATTTTGTAGATATTTTACAATTGGCGTATCTGTTTTGGAATAATGAGATTTTTCAAAGATCTTGTTTGTAGTCATGAGCTTTTTCTAAAAGAAAATCTTATTTCTAAATGCACCTCCAATTTAAAGAGCTGCAGGGGAAATAAATTCTGTTGTCACCAGTTTGTATTATTAATTTGGTGATTATCATCCATATGATCTATTCGTTCTTCAGCTCGTAGATGGCTGCATCACCCAGGATGGCGATTGTTTCTTGTATGGAGCAAAAACAATATACAGAAAATTCACAATGGCCGGGAAAGCTGGCACTGGAGGTACTGCAGAGGAGTACTCAATCGAGAAAATTGAGAGTATGTACAAACTAGGTCGAAACAAACTCATTGCCCTGGCACTACTCTGTGGGTGTGACTATACACCTGGAGTTAATCAAATTGGCCAAAAGACGGCGTTGAAATTTTTCAGTCATTTCGAGGACTCAGAGATACTAAGGAGGTACAAATTTTCGTTGATATATTTTAACAAATTGTTCGATAGTTTTAAGCCTGAACAAAATGATGATGATAAGTTTTGAGTTTGAAAGAGCTAGAGCAATTTCCCTGAGAGTTTTGGTGATAATTCTTTTTTTTTTTTTTTCAGGATGAAGAGCTGGAGGTACGACAAAAGCCCAGCACCAACGAAGTAAGCACAATCTCAGTTCTCCAGTCATTTCAATTGTTCATTTATTCATTCTTCATTTCTTCATTTATTTATTGGACACGAATTTGACAGTTGAAGTTTACTCTGTTAGAAAAAAATAGATTTTTCATGAACAGTTGATTAGGTTTTTTCAGGAGAGTGGCATTGAATACGATTTAGGAGGACGAATTCTAAAATTTCAGACATCACTGAAAATGAAATGAAATTTTAAATTTTATAGCATCACGATCACGACAATTTCCCAACTCACTTAAATTTTCAATTAATTGGAAATTCAAAAATATATCTACCTGAATTCCTATCAATTTGCATGGAATAATTGAACATAAATTTACAGTTCTCATTCAAATTTTTCAACAAAATTTTAAAGTACCAATGACAAAATTTCTTAAAATTTCATAATAAAATTGAATATACTCAACGTAAAGTATAATAATGATACATAGAAAATAAATAAAAATCGATTATATATCCTCAATAATAATTGATGTAATTACCTCAATAATAATGAATGAATCTTTCCGTTCAGAGAAGAGCGAGTTGTGAAATCAAAATGCGTGCTGCTGGAGGATTTTCCAAATCAAGAAGTAATAGATGAATTCCTGATACGAAAGGGTTCAATACCAACGAGAATTGATAATTGGAAGCGCCCCAATGGCGCTGCCTTAGTCGTAAGTAAACATTAATTCCATTAAAAAAATCTTGAAACACTTCTAAAATCATGAATATTTCCAGGAGTTCCTCGCAGCCAATTTGTTTTGGGAGGTTGACTTCACCGTCAAGCATGTTCTCCCCCTCGTCACAAGGTGGCAGGTCCTCAACTTCATGGGTATTCCCGAGGAGCTGCGCCCGAACGATCCAGACATCCTCATCCCCAAAGAAATAAAGAAGACGAGGAAGCCTGGAACAGTCTTAAGTTTCGAAATCGAGTGGACAATCTCACGAGACAGTAATTACTTTCTGATTCCTAAGATTAACGAGCAGTCTCTCAAAGACACTGAGCTACTCTGCACAGTAGAATGCCAGCACTACGTCATCAAATCCTATCCCCAGTTGGTCCAGGCATTCGAGGATCTGCAGGCAGCTAAGAAGAAGCCACAGAGGAAGCCAAGAAAAGGAAAGACTGCGGACGTGGAGGAAAAGACTGGACAGTCTCCGAAGCAGAAGAAGACCAAAGGTAAGAAGGAGGAGGTGCCATGCAAGAGGATAGACAATTACTTCCAGCAGAGGAAATGCGTGTCATCCAGGAAACCAGAGAAAAGTGGGCCAGGGAGGATTCATCAGCCAGAAACCTCTCGCCCTCAGAATCGAGAGAAACTCAGAGAGAATTCTGCTTCGAAACTCGATGGAACTCTCAAACAAATTTACGACGACCTGAGTCCTGAGGATTTTGCCAGTGATGTGGATGCTGATTGTGCTGAGATGTCCATGGTGGTCCAGAGGACGTGCAGCCAAACCAACACAATCCTTCCTGCATTGCTCTCACTGCAATCAGATGGAGCACCTCAAGATTATCTCTCAGAAGAAAAAACGCGACCTAGTCCAATCAAGGAGGTTGTAGATATAGTCGACATATCATCTGATGACGATATTGTTTATGTCCCTCTTGGTGAACGTCTAAAGGCCAGGGGGTAGACTGCCTAGAGATTTACAAGTAGAGCATTTTTACCTGATAATGTTTCCAAGAAAGCGGGTTCATGTGCATTTTATTTTATGATGGAGAAAAATTGGAATAAACATACTTAGCTTTTTTAAAAATATGAAGATGATTCATTAAATGTAAAATGAAAAGATCAGTGTACAACATTTTCCTCATCTAATTTAGTAGTTCTCTCTTATAGTCTAATATATATCTAAATGAACTAAATACTCCTTTCATAAATTTCTATCAATCTCGATTTGATTTATCTCTCTTCTTTGCCTTCCGAATATTAAATTGGGGGGCTGTTATTCCTGAAAATTTTGCCAGCGATGGAGTCTAGATTCTAGTGTTTTAAAAAGAGTGCATTTTTACCTGATAATGTTTCCAAGAAAGAAGGTTCACGTGCATTTTATTTTATGATGGAGAAAAACTCGAATGAATACGCTTCGCTTTTTTAAAAATATGAAGATAGTTCATTGAATATAAAATGAAAAGATCGATGTACAACATTTTAGTCATCTAATTTAGTAGTTCTCTCTTATAGTCCAATATATATCTAAATGAACTAAATACTCTTTTCAAAAATTTCTATCAATCTCCATTCGATTTATCTCTCTTCTTTGCCTTTCGAATATTAAATTTGAGGGCTAAATTATTCCTGAAGGTTTTGCCAGCGATAGAGTCTAGAGCCTAGTGATTTAAAAATAGTGCGTTTTTACCTGATGATGTTTCCAAGAAAACGGGTTTACGTGCATTTTATTTTATGACGGAGAGAAATTTGAATAAATACACTCTAGTTTTTTAAGAACACAAATATAGTTTATTGAATATAAAACAAAAAGATCAATATTTAATACAGTGCTGCAACGAGATTCAATAAGGCCTACGGTTTAGTGCCTCTGGAATAACAATTTTGGGTGTTCAACATTTTACCCATCTAACTTAATTTGTTTTCTCTTTGTGCGACTCGCTGAGGATCTCGATATTGCCGTAACAGCGAGAACGTAGGCCCTATGTGTCGTTAACTCGTTAAAATTTGGCCGACTAATATCAACAGAGTGTATAGTCCAATATACATCTAAATAAACTGAATACTCCCTTCAAAAATTTTCGCACAATCTCCATTTGATTCATTTCCCTTCTTCGTCTTTCGAGTGTTAAATTAGGGTTTTGAATTATTCGTCAACGTATATACATAAACCATCATTTATACTTAAGGTAACTAGTTGTCAATTCTCAAAGGCCAAGTCAATTGGGCAATAATGATTTTTTAAAAACTCTGTTTCAATATTATATCAATTAATGGCTTAACAACTACGTTGGTAATTCATCTGTATAAACCCTGCTAATGGTGCCATTCGAGTATTCAAATCGTTTCCTCATCACTTATAGTAGTTATGCGCATTTCCATTTTGAAAAGTTTAATATGACTTTAATAAAATCATACAAACACGGAACTTTTAGTCCAAGCAGAGCCCGAATGAAAATTTTCACTCGTAAGTTTCTCCCCCATCCATTTTTCTCGTCTTTACAAATATAATATCGATTTCGAAATACTTCATGGGCTCGCTCCCTCACCATGGGGAGCGTCGGTTTCTCGTATAATAAGATAATTTCAATAGCAGCTGTGTCCTACATACATATTGCAAAGTGAGATCTAAAAAAGTCACGGTCGTATTCTCTATTCTCGAATTGTACGGATCGATAGACGATGTAAATCAATCCTGGAAAGTTCACACGCGGAGAAAAAAGTTGGAGAAAAATTACCAAGTGAGAAAGTTTACTAAATGTGAGGGTATTTGTAGCTGAACAGGGAAATTAACCGTTTATGCTATGAAAAAGAATTTCATTAACGTGAATAATTGCTCAAGACTGCGTAATCATTTACATGTGTGTAGGAATTTTTCTGCGACGGCGAATGATTTTCCCTTCTCATGTCGTTCACATCGGAGCCAGAAAAAATACCCTACCGGTGCGGGAGATTTGACTGTACAGGGAAGATAATTTTTACATCCATGTGCACCTCCGGCTGCGAAAACATGACTTTCCGCACTTGGCGCACAATATACTATTACGCACTCGTATCGAAATACACTATTTTTACTGAACGAATCGTTCACGGAGAGAAATGTTCAGTAAAAATTACGGAACTCACAATTCACTCACCGATTACGGAATTGACTCAGAAAATTTAAGTGACAGTATCGTAATTTTTCACAGGAGATTCAGATAAAAATTACAGAACGCCCCGGAAAAATTCCGTGATGGTTCCGTAAAATTTCGTACAACCACATTTCGCTCCGGAATTACGGAAAAGATACGTAATTTTTATTGAATATTTCTGTCCGTGTAAGACATCCTCCGCAAAGTGTTTTTTATTGAACTACAATTTTGCTCCACAATTACCTCGCACGGTAAAATTTGCCGCGATTCTCCGGATAATTTTTATTCAACTTTTCTCCTCGTGCAAACTGGCTTGAGAACGCCCGCGTGAATACCATTAACATAATTATTTCCTTCTTACTCCTCTTCTCAAATTTATAAAATTGTTTTTTCCCCTTTCATTTATTCCGATGACATTAGTTGAACACTATCGTCAGCGGATCTGTGCAGACGCCGGACTTCCGAGAGGGTCCGAATGGGCGTCGGGTTCAGGAGGGAAAACGAGTGTGTGTGACGATCTGAAATATTGCAAAATATGCCAATTACCACTACCAATTACCACTGGATCGATGAAAGTGGAATTAATTAAGCAATGAAGAGGGGAAGCGATATGAGTCGATTTCGGTTCAAGATAAGTTATGGATTGATATCTTTGTATCGGAAGCCGACGACTGTTTTTTCTTGTAAAATGCTTTTGCTCAAAAGAAAATTTTCAATTCAGCGAAATGTGAAAACTTGAAAACTTTTCTCATATTGAAGGTAAATTCGAATCGCATTGGTTCGATTATTCACGTGTGATGAGTTGGTATTCTTTATTCGCCCATTAAATTATTCACCTCAATATCAGTTTTGAAACTTACAAACCCTTGAATTGAGGATTTGCGGGTTATCTAGACATTTCAAGTATCAAACATTTTTTCATTAAATTAAGGTACTTCCTCAGTGAGTTATACTTGGTGAAAATTTCGCAATGAACTGAAGACCTAAAATTTGGTTGTTGAAGACACACGGAGAGAAATATTCAATAAAAATTACGTATCTTTTCCGTAATTTCGGAGTGAAATGTGGTTGTAGGAAATTTTACGGAACTGTCACGGAATTTTTCCAGAGCGTTCCGTAATTTTTATCTGACTCTCCTGTGAAAAATTACAATACCGTCACTTAAATTTTCTGAGTCGATTCCGTAATCGGTAAGCGAATTGTGAGTTCCGTAATTTTTACTGAACATTTTTCTCCGTGCATGTAAAAACGACTCCCAAAATTTCAAGTACTTTTTCCACGCGAATTTTTTAGATATTCATCGTCAGACATTCAATTTTTGTCTTTTTTAAGTTTTTGTCGATGCATATCTAAAAAATTCGCGTGGAAAGAATGCTTGAAATGTTGGGAATCGTTTTCACATGTGCTCAACAACATATGATCCAAATTTTAGGTCTTCAGTTCATTGCGAAATTTTCACCAAGTATAACTCACTGAGGAAGCACCTTAAATCGTTTTTTAATGAAATTTTATATAGAAATGAGGCGATTGATTTTTATTCTTCTATAGGAATTATTCCCTTGAAATGTTTCCCATAGAAATTTTCTGGAAATGAGTTATCCAAATTTTCCCGCTGTATTTTTCTTGTTTCTTATTCACGAAATCAAAGAAACAAAGCTAGGAAAGATTATGCACCCAAATTTTTATAGAAAAAATCCAAATGGAATACGTTACATAAATCAATAGTCATTAATGTTATCCTATAAAAATATTTGTTGAAAAACGCACGATAAAATGGCATAATAAAACACGAATAAAAACAAATCCAATTCGATAGAATTATTTAGAGAAAGCCTTAGGTTCTTCTATTATATTCTTCCATACGTGTATCGATCGAATTCAATATTCAACAAGAAGTGATTTTTCTATATGAATTATTCCCTTGAAATTTGTTCTATAGAAAGTTTTAAGGGTAAGTTATCCAACCATTCCCGCTGTATTTTTCTTGCTTCTTATTACGAAATCGAAGAAAAAAATATTTAAAAAATTTATGCAACGGAAATTTTATCGGAAAAATCCCAACAGAATACGTTACATAAGTCAACACGCATAATTATTTTCCTATAAAGATATAGGGGAAAGCCGGGTCATTTATAAATGAAGCCATATTACCCGACCCTCCCCTATGTTTTGAAAAACGTGCGATAAAATGGTATATAATAAAATGCAAATTGAAAACGAATCAAATTCGACACAATTATTTAGAGAAAGCCCTAGGTCCTCCTATTAAATTCTTCCACACAAGTATCGATCTAATTCAATATTCAACAACGAGTAATTTTTCTATATCAATTATTCCCTTGAAATTTGTTCTATAAAAATTTTCAAGTAAAAGTTATTCAACTATTCCCGCTGTATTTTTTTGCTTCTTATTACGAAAGCGAATACAAAAAAAACTTAAAAAATGTATGCACCCAATTTTTTTTAGAAAAAATCCCAACATAATACGTTATATAAATCAACACCCATCAACTTTTTCCCATAAAAATATGTTTTGAAAAACGTGCGATAAAATGGAATAATAAAATGCAAATTAAAAACAAATCGAATTCTTCAGAAGTCCTTAGAGAAAGCCCTAGGTGCTTTTATTAAATTCTTCCACACCTGTATCGATCCAATTCAATATTCAACAACGAGTGAAAAATCGACTTGCATTCTATTAACTTTTAAATTCTATCGACTTCCCCAACTCTACAACTGAATTATTAAATAATCGATGGATAATAGTCACCCCCTCTGTAATCGCTGGATGGCTCACTCCTCGACAATTCACTGGTATCGGTAGACCGATCCCTGCAGCAGCCACTGTTTGACGGACTGCTGTTGGAGTACTTGTAGCGTGCCATTGGATCGGCGTTAGTGACGGAAGTCATTGGGGGAGTATTATTGAATGGAAAGGCTGGTGTGTGGGGCCACGAGGCGGGTGGTGGGCTGCGCACAAGGTGTTCATGCACTTGGGCCAGGGTCAGCGGATCGGTATCGCCCAGCTCCTTCATCGTAATCAAACAATTAAATGCAAATTTCAATCGATCGATTCAATTCAACTCACCTGAGACATTAAAATCGCATCATCGGACTCGGACTCCTCAATCGATTCCACCAAACTCTCACGACTAGCTAATACCTGTTTTGTCAATTAAAAAACATTTCCGTAATCAATTAAGTGGGTTATCCCGGGACTTTCATCAACTGCACTGTTGGAAAAAAATTGAAATTTTCGGAAGAGCGATACGACATTTAAAATTTCAGTGAAAATTCAACGGTTTCATTTTTTTTAGTGCCAAAATGGCGAGATTTTCGCAACTCACTTGAGTTTTCAATCAAATCATGAATATTCAGTATCCAATTAGCTGAATTTTTAATTAAATGGAAATTCATGAATATATTTACTGAATTTCTCTGATTGCTATCGGTTCCTAGGGAATAATTGAATTGATATTTATCAGTCCCGCTGTTTTTTCCATCAAAATGTTAATTTTTAGTGATGAAATTCCTTCAAATTTCAGTGGGACTGTCTCGAGATTGAATATTTTAAGGAATGTCTCGGAAATTTCACCCTAAAATTTGAAACTGTTAATTTTTAGAAGAACGACGTGAAATTTCAAATTTTAATAGAATTTTACTGGAATTTCAAAGAAGGAAAAACATCAATATTCGGTTTAAAATTACACTGAATTCTCAATATATTGAACATTCAAAACTATTTCTCCCTAAATTGTCCCGATTCCCATTAATTTTTATGGAATAATTCTAGTCACGTTGGGAGTTCCCATTGCTTTTTTTCGAAATTCGGCCTTTTCAATGACAAAATTCTCGTGAAACTGTCACTTAATAAAAATTTCTAAGGAGTTTAGTGGAAATTTCAGCCTAAAATTCTTAACACTGTCAATTTTCAGGAGAGCGACATGAAATTTTAAATTCTACTCGGATTTTAATGGAATTTCAAGGAAGAAAAACGAGAAATTCCCAACTCGCTCCAATTTTCGACAAAAACATTAATTTCCCATATAAAATTACACTGAATTCTCAATCAATTGAAAATTCAAGACTATTTTTTCTTGAATAGACCCGATTGCTATTAATTTTCAGAAAATAATTGAATAATTTTTGTCACGAAATTGCGAATTTTCAATGACAAATTGCCCTGAAATTCCGGTGAAATTGTAACTGAATAAAAATTTCCTAGGAGTGTAGCACAAATTTAAACTACAAATTTTCAACAAGATAGGGATTTTCAGGAGAGGAACATGAAAATAAAATAAAAATAAATAGATGAATGAAACTGTCTTGAATTCTCAATCAAAACATAAATATCCATCACCAAATTACGCTGTATTTTCCATTAACTGAAATTTCAGAACTAATTTCCCTAAATTTCCCCGATTTCTATCACCTCTCAAATGTTTCCCATTATTTTCTTCCTCAAATGGTGAATTTTCACTGCCGAAAATCCTTGAAATCCCTCTCCCCAAAACTTCCCGAAAAATCCGCAAAAATTGTCCAACATTGCAGTTACAAAAACTAACACATCACTCATGCCTGCAAAAATGGATTGTCCTGTCGACTCAATCGTAGCGCCTCCATATCCTGATCTATGTTACGCGTTCTGCCTGGTGTTAGGGTGAGAATTGAATGAGAGGGTGAGGGCTGACACACCGCTGGAGCTACCACTACATCGACAGCTGCGACACTCAGACTAGATGGAATTCTACTCGATACAGAATTCTCATTATCCCCCGATGACACTTGACCGCCGACATTGCGACGACAATTTGTAGAGACGATAGCTAGAACAACACCATTTCCTCAATCTATTCAGCTGAACTCTCCCCCAAAACCCCACATTATTCCCGAATCACCCCCAACCATTTACATTTATATTCATATTTATATTTACCAGGACCCTCCACCCTCGGTGCTCTATCCATCTCGTCCTCCTCGTCGATCTTCATGCCAAAAACAAATTTCTTACTTCTAAAAATACCGGATAAAAACGCAACGCCCTTGCGCTTGACACGGTCGTACCTCTGGGCGTTTTCAGACGACACGTGTATCATAATTAAACATGCACCGCCCTCGGTAAAAAAACCCTCGATTGATTATTCGATACAGAAAAAATCCCCGATGTGTCATCGATGCGGATTATCCAGTCTCCCGATACCGCGGATCCATCGAGACAACCCTCGCGCTCGCGAGGCACTTCCCGAGCTTTAAACCAACTGCATCCAATGTTTTTCACCCATCCACCGCGCAATGATCTATTATCCCCCAAGTTGTGGAGGTTACTGCACACTGTTTCGACGTTCTACCCGTACCGGAAAGGGGGTGCAAGGTAGGGGATGAATTGTCTTCTCGGCGCGACGTCAACCCCCACCCCCCACCCGACTGCGCAACTGCGAGGACAGTGCTATCAGAAAAATATAACTTCATCATCGATTCACCGAGCCATTTCGTTATTGCCCCTCTGATTATTGTTTTTCAAAATTGAATTGAGTTGTCATTGCTCCCTCCAAGTCCAATTAGCCGGGTAATTGGGAGCTGTTGGGAGAGGGCTGGGTAATCGCATGCGTGGGTGCGTGTTCCGGGTGAGCCTGGCTGTCCTCCATGACCATAACACTGCAGGAGCCTCATCGATCCTCGGTTACACCGGTGTTAAGGCGATGTTATGTGTGCTTTGCTCATACAATTTTCCCTCGTCAACGAAGCGGGCTTCGTGCGCTCGGGAAATTGGCGGGTATCGATTCAATGGAAAAGACGGGCTTGTTGGGTTGCACAGGGGAACGCAGTAGATTTTTCTTTTTATTGATTTACAGGTAAAAATCGCAACGAGGCCGGGAACTATAGTCAGGTTCAGGGGTCCCATCAATATTAAATTTCTGTAATATTACGAGGATTTGACCCTTACATTATTGAACACGGAGAGAAATGTTCAGTAAAAATTACGGACCTCATAGTTCGCTTACCGATTACGAAATCGACTCAGAAAATTTAAGTGACGGTATCGTAATTTTTCACAGGAGATTCAGAGAAAAATTACGGAACGCTCTGGAAAAATTCCGCGACGGTTCCGTAAAATTTCCTACAGCCATATTTCGCTCCGGAATTACGGATAAGATACGTAATTTTTATTGAATATTTCTCTCGTGAAGGTTTAAAATATGTTGATTCAATTTTTCAAATAATGTAATATTAATAATCTGATTTTTTACGAATAATGATATATTTAAAATTTGTTAATATGAAACTGTAAATCTACTAGTAAGGGAATACTTCAAATTTCTTGAAAGGGGATTTTCGATTACACAAGTAATCGTCAATCTTCCTCACTCAAATTATTGATTGATAAAATAGCTGAAAGTTTGAATATTTGAATTGATGATACTTGAGTACTCGAAAAATTTCAAGAGTGATGTTATCTAATTCAGTAGCGAAGTGGTAAACCGGTCCAAGTCAATTTTGACTATTGACCAGTTTTCAATAAATATTCGCAACAAGGAAATGAAAATCGCAACAAGGAAATGAAAATCGCAACAAGGCCGTGAACTATAGTCAGGTTTTTGAGTTTATTTTCAGAAGTTCACTTATGGTGGAGAATGAACTCTTTCTGTTTTAGAAAAATTCCAGTTGGGGGTGGAAATGCTATTGGTCTTTGCTCGAATTTATGTGAAAACTCAGAAATAATTAGAAGTTTTACTCAACGACATTAGAATTTTTCAATTATATTGTCCGTAAAACGTTTTACAGACACTGCGCGTCCGTCAAGCGCCATTTACGGACATTGTAAAGAAAAATTATGCTCGTCACTTAGTGGAAAACAGCTATTTCGTAAAAATTTATCTACGTGAAGTAAAAATGATAATACTTTAGGTACAAATTGAGATTTTTTTTTTAAATTTTACCCTGAAATTCTGTAAATTTTTACGGACTTATTGTATTTGTTACAAGAGTTTAAGTATGAATTTTTATGGCAATGGAAAAGACGGGTTTGTTGAGTTGGACAGTGGAACGGAGTCGATTTTTCTTTTTATCGATTTACATGTAAAAATCGCCTCAAGGCCGTGAACTATAGTCAGGTTTTTCATTTTATTTTCAGGAGTTCATTTATGGTGAAGAACGCACTCCTTCTGTTTTCGAAAAATTCCAGTTGGGTGTGGGAATTCTATTGAACTTTGCTCGAATTTATATAAAAACTCAGAAATAATTAAAAGTTTTACGCAACGACACTAGAATTTTTTCATCACATTGTCCGTAAAACGTTTTACGGACACTACAAGTCCGTCAAGCGCCGTTTGCGGACATTGTGAAGAAAAATTATGCTCGTCACTCGGTCGAAAACAGCAATTTCGTAAAAATTTATCTCCGTGAAGTAAAAATGACAATACTTTAGGTAAAAATTGCAATATTTTTTACGGACTTATTGTATTTGTTAGGAGACTTCGAATGTAAATTTTTACGGGAATTCCTCTTTGAGAGACTGAGAATAGAATTCATTCCTTTGAATTTTCCAGGCTTTCAAGGGGAATGATTGAGAAATAGGGAAACATTTTTCAGGGAGTACAGAATATTGGACTTTTCAGGTCTTAGGAATATTAGCCACCCTTCTTGGAGAAATCAATCTTCACAAGGAAAATCAGTCCAAGGCCGTTTGATATTGAAGAGATATTTCTTGAATAGATTGACTCTATTCTATTGGACAGATACTGCGAGTATTCAGTTAATTCATGGCTCCATCAATCAATCGGATACCCCGGTGTTAAGGCGATGTTATCTGCGCTTTGTTCACACAATTTTCCTCGTCAACTAGGTGGACGTCATGCACTCGGGAAATTGGCGGGTATCGATTCAATAGAAAAGACGGATCTCGTTGTTTTAGACAGTGAAACAAAGTATATTTTTCTTTTTATTGATTTACATGTAAAAATCGCCCCAAGGCCGTGCAGCTCCAGTCAGGTTTTCTGAGTTAATTTGCAGGAGTTAATTTATAGCGGAGAACACACTCTTTTCGTTTTATTAGTTTAGTTTGGTTGGAGGTGAACGATAAGTATTTTCCCAGTGACATTTTTGATGGACGGAGAGGAATTTTGATTAGAAATCACTTCGAAATTCTAGTAGTCAAGAATTTTTAATTAAATTTTGCTGAGAAGTTGCTTGGAAAAATTCTAGCTGGGGATTAAATTTCATTTGAGTTTAACTTTTCCCGAATTCATATGAAAATTTCTCAGAAACTTCTCTAAAGAAAGTATTTCAAGTGAAAATTACAATATTTTTATGCCACACGACGATAAAAGTATTATCTGATGAATGTGATGTGTGTTATAATCGCTTTCGCCTCGCATTATAGTCATATGAGTCTGATAGTACTTTTATCGCCCTGTGACATGAAAAGATTATCATTATATTATTAATATTATCAAAATATTATTATACTGGACTCATGGGATTTGAAAGTCACATTCATTAGATAATACTTTTATCGCCTCATAACATAATGTACTAGTTTGAGACTGCTGCTATGTTCACCTCGTGCCGAAATGTGCCTTCTCGTTTAATTGTAAACGAAAAAATGCACAGTTAGACATGTGAGTGACAACAATGACCGTCATTGGTCACAGTCGTCATGACTGGTAATTACCGCGCCAAAAATCTGACCATATGTTCAGAAAAAAAAATAATGATTGACCATAAGCATGGAATGACCGAATAGATGACTCTCATTCTCAAGAATGAATCCAGCGATTTCTATTATTTAGAACGGGGCCATTGATAATAATTAATAAATAAAATAAGGAATGATAATTCCTTATTTTATTGAAAATAAGGAATGATACCAATTAATGAATAAAATAATGAATGATAATGATTTAATTCTACTGAAAAGTTTTCCTATCGAACCCTTAAAAAATAGCCCAACAAATAACCGAAATAAAACACGTATGAAAAAATTCAATAGAAAACCTAGCAAATTCGCTAGAATCTTCTGTTGGAATTCTATAGGAATTCTATGGGGGTTTCTATAGAATTTCAATTGGAATTCTATTGGAAAATTCAATAGATTTCAAATTTCTTTTTGAATTTTTCTCTTGAAATTTTTTCTACAAGAATGCTTGAGCATCAATTTTCAAGTTTTTTCCACTCGGATTCTGCAATGCAAAATAATACAAAATCCAGCGGATAAAATTTAGAAAATTTGTGGCCAATAATTCTAATAGAAAAAATCTAAGAGAAAAATTCAAACAGAAATTCGAAATCTATTAACTTTTTCTTATTGAGAATATCCAATAGAATCGGCGCAAAAAAAATAGAATTTTTCAATAGAATTCCAGTAGAAATCCTATAGAAACCCCATAGAATTCCTATAGAATTCCAATAGAATTTTCTAGCGAATTCGCTAGGTGTTCTATTGAATTTGCAACTATGTAGACGACGTAGTAGTTTTTGGCCATTTTGGCACGTGTCTGATGCAGCCAATTGTGACGGTCATTTTGTATACAAAATTCGGTCAGGGTCAGAAAACGTTAAAAAATCCATCATTTAAGTCTGACCTGGCCGAAAGGGAAAATGACGGTTATTCCAGATCTATAGGCATAGTTCGGCACCCGCTGAACGTAACATCACTGAAAAAAAATGTAGTTCGACGAATGAGCGACGGGGATTTTTCAGCTCGTGTAAAACCCATCGCTCTTGTACCGAAACATACAACTTTGGAATTTTTGTCTGAAATACTGTAATGTTCGATGGACTTATTATTTTTTCTACAAGAATTTAAGTTTGAGTTTTAATGGGAATTCCCCTTCGTGAGACTCGTAAAATTCAAGTCATACTTTTGAATTTTCAGGTTTTCAGGAGAAATTATTAACAAATAGGGAAACATTTTTCAGGGAGTGCGTAAGAAAATTTTTTAAAAAATTGACATCTCATTTTGAAGTGTCTAGAAGCCCTATCCATGAAAATATCCGCCGAAAATATCATAAGTAGTTGGATTTGCACATTTTTATTCCGAAACTCCGGGCCGTGTCCGTGTATAAGACGAATTTTCAGAAAAACATGGCAACTTTGAGCTCGAATATACAATTAAGGGTAACACTGAACATAGAAACTCTCACGGGCCTTCTTCAAGTATACGATCTAGATCACTCTTGATTTTTTTCAGATTTTTCTGGATCTTTCAAATTTATCATTATATCGATTTATTCTGGTGCGGCGCAGCGCGTATGGCGCGACCAACGGAGTGTTAAGGTATATCCTGAGACAATCAGACCCAAAAGTTAGTCCCTTCCCCCATGGAAAAATATATTTAAAAAATATGTGTAATATAGATCAATTTAATATAAATATTCTTCGAATGTATATAAGATTTATATAAAATATATATGAAACATATGAATTTATATTAAATTCATATGTTTCATATATATTTATATATTAATATATATATAAATCAAGCCAATTCTGGCCCGGTTGCATCAGCTCCGAGTAACAAAAACGTCAGAGAAGAAAAAAAGTAAATTTGGATGTTCGATGGATTTGTTTACCCGGGAGAATATCTCAAATTTATCCCAGGAACAAAAAGTAAAATTTAATCCCAAGATTAAATCAGTGTTAATTCAAATGGGGCTACAGGATAAATAAAAAATTATTCTTCGGGTAAAATATTGAAAAATTATGACCCCTACGATATAATTGACCCCGAGGATAAAATTTACCCTGGGGTTTATTTGGATAACAGGGATTGGTGCAACCGGGCCTCTGTATATAAAATATATAATTTTCAGAATATATATTTTTTCATATGGGTATGGATTTCCGGTGAAAATTCTAAATAACTAAATCTATTGCATTCTCATAATTATTAAGTTTTTCTATTCTCATGTGTTGTTGATGCAGGCAACAATAACTGTTTTTAATCAAATAAGAAATTATTTGTCAATTAATTTTTTGAATCAAGTAAGGAATGCTTTCATAAAATTTCCTTTTTTTCGAGTTGAATATCGAGTTGAAAAAATGCATCGTATTCGGAATTTATCAATCTATCATGGATTAGTTTTTTTTTAAATCGTAAAAACCGTCTGTTCTCATAAGATGGAAAAATCGAGTGCGGGGGGACTATTACCCTCCTTTGGCCTATGCTTTGCGTGTTAGAAGCCCGCGTTTCATTATTTATTATCTCCTAAACTGTGTAGTACAGCTAGTTAACATTTTTTTCAACAGCTGGGGACTATTATAAACATTATCTATGAAAAACATGGGGTCAATCTTAAAAGAACCCGTTTTCTCGGGATATACCTTGAGGGTATTATCCACCCCTGGGAGAAATGAATTTTCATAAGGAAATTCAGTTCATGGCCACTTGAAATTGAATTTTTATCCGTAATAAATTCGTGGGAAAACATGACAAGTTTTGACTATTCACTCATTTTATGACTTCCTCATTAAATTTTATGAGCAGAAGTAGGTATAACGACCTCGATGAATGAGATGAAAGACTTCTTGTTTTCAACTAATTGAAATTCCATTGCGATGTCACAAAGTCGTGGGAAGACTCTAGTCGCTTCAAATAATTCAGAGGGATCTTTACCCCTGAATTCTTGTAATCGAATTTTAGCAAGAGCTTTAATGAAATAGGATTCAAGTCCAGTAAAAATTCTTGCAGGATTGTGGGATTTCAAAGGCAATTTTACAAGGAAATTTCTCTTTTTGTGAGAAAATTCAGTTCCGTTTAATTTTGATCTTCTAGAAAACCTGAGAATTCGTCGTATCTTGAATTCCAAAGAGCTTTCATCGAAAATTTCAGCTGGAAATATCTAAATGGTATGTTTCAGGGTGGATTACCCAGTAACTCATTTTATCAATCGAATGTGACTTCATGAAACTTCTTCATGTTCATGTTATTTTCCAATATTATTGATTCTGTTGGATTATTTCAGAGAATTGTTTCAATGAAAATTTTTTTCGTGGTTCGATGAAATTATGAGTTTCTCACATAAACCGACGTAGAAAGTCCTCAGAACAATAATTCTATTGGGAGAAGGAACAAAGGGTTCTAAAGAACGACGGCGAAGAAGTTATCGAAGTTGAAGTTGACTCCCTTGTATTTTTAATTTATCTATTGAGACACATGGAAAAATTTCACAGAAAACCTTGGCGAATTTGATAGAAAATCCTGTTGGATTAGACTCTCGCTAGTTGCTCATCGAAAGGGCTGTAGGGGTACCATTTCCCAGAAATTCTCAATTTTCCACCGGCCCCACTCCTCACCAATGCCGACTCATGTTCTCAGAAAAATGAGAGGAAATGAATAGTTTCATTTTCGAATAAAATTATTTGGTTCTCTGTGTTTACGTACGGAGGACAAAAGAAAGTGATAAGGCGGCCGAGACTGGCGGCAGCGGTCGAGCGTTCGAGAAGGGGATTAGGGGAAAATGAGCAACTAACGGGCGTGCAACTGGTGAGTCTACTGTAGAAAGTTCAATAGAAATTCAATAAAATTTTCTGGCAAATCCACGAGATTTTTAAAAATGAAATTTAATAGCAGAAACCTAGCAAATTCGCTAGACAATTATGTTGAATTTCCATTGGAATGTTTAACTGAAAATATTCTATAGAAAGTCAAAAGAATTCCATTTTTCCAAACAACTTCTTCTATTGAGCTATTTTCTATAGAATTTTCTCGACTCAAATTTTCCAAGTGTTTTTGTTTGATTTTCTTGACGAAAAAAAGGAAAAATCGAATGAAAAAAAAAATAGAAAATTTAAACCGAGGGAATTCTATAGAAAATATCTAAAGAGAATAACTTACATAGAAAAATCGAAGTCTGTTGCCTTTTTCTATCGGATATTTTCCATTGAATATTTCAATAGAATCGGCCCAAAACTAACAGAATGTTCAATAGCAATTCAACACAATTTTTTAACGAATTCGATAGATTTTTCTATTAAATTTTTTCGTGCGTGGCACACCGAATGGATTCAATAGCACTGAACAATCCACCCCACAATCTCGAAATGAAACTGATAAATTCATTATGTTTTCTCTTTCTTTTAATGGAAGACGGTTCACGAGTCTGCGTCAGCCTGTTTTGCAACTCTTCCCTTCATTTCGAAAGGCCGCTAATTAATTTTTGGAAAATAGAGAACGCGCATTACCGTCCGAGTTTATTCTTGTATAAATCTACGTCTCATTGAGGGACACTTGTTCTTGCGGAATGAATAGTACTGTTTGTATTTTTTGTTTTCTCTTTCTCTCTGTCAAACTTATCACTTAAAATTCAATTAACAGGCATAATAAAAAATAATATTTATCGCACTATGAATTACAGTTCCGCAATGAATTACGCGAATTCACGATATGTTTAATCCTAATAACGAATCTACGTACGTCGTAGATTCTTGTTTTTTTTTTTCGTATAAACACAGTGACATTAGAACATGGTTTATGCGCAGAATAATTAGTTTATAGTACAAAATATTTGAAAAAATCATCACAGTTATACTAAAAAAACATGAATTACTTTTTTCTTATCCTTCATTCTGCATTAATATTCGTAATAACGTCGGATTTATTCCAATTACGAAGTGAAATACCGCACGAGTGATTGGTAATAATTTCATTATACCAAAATCATTGATTTGTAGATGAAAAAATCATCGGATGAAGTATTTATTCGTTAAAAAATGGATTTGAACTTTCTATCTGATCGTACGATTGTCCCTTACTGCTGAGTATTTACAAACGACATTTTCTATTATTTCTTGCGGTTGAAATAACGAAAATAAAACTGTGCGCATTATCTTGGCGCTTTGCTTCATCAGTAATAATCATTTCGGCAGTATAAGTATAAAGCATTTGGAAAAAAAATGAGACGTATGGGTCTCTGATACAATTAACACTAATGAAAGGAGAAACATTGATTTAGAATTGCAAAACCAATCCAGCAAATGAACAATATTAACAGTAACAAAAGACAATAAAATTATTACTTCATTCTGAAGAACAGGAACACGGCACAATTTTAAAAATTGTATTCGCCGTTGAGGGAAGACTTGAGTTTTGGAGATCACAGCATTCAATTGAGGATTTTCGTGTGTTCCATACATATTTTTAGATGTACAAAGTAAGAATCAGTAATGAAACCACGTCAGAGCATAATTTATGAAAAAATTCAACTGGAATTCTAGTGAATTTCTATTGAAATTCTATAGTTTTTTGTTGATTTCCATTGGAAAAAGTCAATAGATTTGAATTTTGTTGTATCAATCATTGGTATTATGAATTGAAAATCCCTTGAAGTTTGTTTCTAGAGACATTCATAAGTATAAATTTTCAAGACTGTTTTCGACAAAAAACTTGGAAATTTCATGCCCCAGAATTTTTGAGAAAATTAAAAATAGAATTTTCAATACAATTATAATAGAACTTCAATTGAATTCGTGTTGGATATTGATATTAAATTTTTTTACACATGATAAACTAAATTTCTACAATATTGACTGTTTTAACTAAAAATCTATTTTTCAATAGAATCGTAACAGAATTCCAATAGAATTCGTTCCAGATATTGATACTGGTTACTCAAAACTCTTGTAGGGATTCTATTCTATTCAAAATTAATAGCTATATCCCCTTGCTATGCAGTGGGGGCAAGTACGACACTCTTGTAGAGATGCATAAAATAACCATTACAAGACGGTTTTCACATTCGATCTAAAAATAGTCCGAAAATTTGGTTTTATTATGAAAGATATTTCATATCTAATCAAAATAATTCAAAAACCATTATCCCCGCATGAATTTCCAATTCTTAATCTATGGAAACAGAAAATTCCACAATTTTCAAAACTCATGGTCGTTTTCCCTCTAGCAATCAACCAATTACACTTCAAAGTAATCAAAAAATGCCTCAGATACGGCTTCCAATGAAAACAAATACTTTGAGAACATTAATGCGCCCATCACAACTTCAATTAACTTATATACAAAAACATTATATTACAATAATAAATTCGACCTTGTGTCAAGTTTACCTCTTGCGAGGCAGTCGACGGCAGTGACGAATTGTACGAATATTACATATTTTTTTATCTCAGGATAGTACATTGACCTCACGCGGTGATCCACACACTTTCAAAACGTCATTCGTTGAGTTTGGTGTTATTTGACTGCGTGCCTCGGTTTGCGCCTGCCTTATGGCTTCTTTGTAAGGGCCCCTCTTTTTTTTATTGTAGCGAGCCTGGAAAATAAACCTATCATGTTTAGAGAATCGATAACTCACTCTCATTAACGATGGGAAATTAATTAATGAAATTCAATGAACCTTGAAGGTCTCGAGGAATGGACTGAGTCGATCACAAGACATCAACGAACACGTGGATGAGCCATACCAGGCGACGTGGGCCTGAGCCTCTGGTAACGCACCATCTTCCTTGCATGACATCGATATGCTCAGAACCTGGGGAATTCATTAGTCTATGAATTTGTGATGAAATTACAATGTTTGTTCGTTTCTCAGTTGGCTCGAGGAAGATTGATTTTATGGGAAACATTCACATGTTCTCTAATGCCACTTATCGACTTCATGCATGAAAAAATTCAATAGAAAAACTTAGCGAATTCTCTAGAAATTCGATTGGGGTTCTATTAAAATTCTAGGAAATTCTCGTAAATTCAAATTCATATTTCGATTTCTCTATATGAATATTTTCTTAGAATTTTTTCTATAACAATACTTGGACATAAATTTTCCAAGTTTTTTCCCCTCGGATCCTGTAATACGAAAAAGTTCTTCGGAACTTGCAACAAATTTCGTTAAAAATGATGAAACTAAAATAAATTCTTGAATTTTTAATTGACTGAAAATTTAACATAATTTGATACAGAATATTCATGTTTTTATTAAAAATTAATGTAAGTTGTAGAATTCTCGCTTTTTCTGCAGCTCAAAAATCAAGAATTTCTTTGAATTTTCAATGAAATCTGAAATTTTATTATTTTTCCCCCTAAATGAAATATTCAATGTCACTCTCGCAAAAATAACTAGTCAAATTTCCAGGTAATTTCAATGAATTTCTAACAGTGGAGATAATTGAATAGCCGAAGGCTTTATTGAATATCTATTTGCCTTGAAGGCTAGTGGTCAGGAGAAAATATCGCGAGCCCTTTTTTCAATCTCACAGATTTGCTCAGCGAAATCACTCAACATTTTACTCTGCGAGCTGTCATCATCAAGTTGATTGAATTTAGAAAAAAATGTGAGAAAAATTCCACAGAAAACCGTCTCGCAACATTCTCTCCTAAAACCACTCACCGCCAAGATGACTCAGTATTCAACCACATACCAAATGATGAATAATTGTATGAATCGTCTCTAAACAATGTAGCTAATGAACACTTGGACTAAAACAGATCATATAAGTTTTCTCTCTTTGTCATTAAGATAATTCGGTTGTTGCGTGACATTTTTTCATTGAATAAACTTACGATATACGAAGGTTCGATGAAGAACATTGGATACATATTTTTATTTATTTGGGAAAATCATAAAAAATCGAGAAGTTACGACGTCACTATGCTTCATATATTGGCGCTATTCCTTGAAATTGAAGACTACATGATGAATATTTTTCATCCAATTTCGTATCCAACAATGAAAAAATTTCCTGCAAAACCCCAATTCCCCAAGTCTTTCATGAAAAATATTAAAAACGTATTCCTTTATTTTGGAAAATCATAAAAAATGAAGAAATAACCGTCACTCGAATAAACATCTGCGCTATGACATCACAAAACTTCACAGATGGTTGTTATTCATCAAAATTGAAAAATACATGATTAATATTTCACGTCAGCGCTTTTTATAACTCACAAATACAATATCTTGCTTACATCTTACAACTCGCGTTTATTCTGTTCATATATCTTGTATTACTTGGAGTCAAATGGTTATTGTATTCTTTCTTTTGTATTTTATCTAATAACTGATACTGTGCATATCACCGTATGTACTGTGGACATGTTCACAAGAGTCTATTGAAATAAATAAATAAATGAAATAAATTCCCTTGAATATTTCACGTCAGCTGAGTAAACCCGTTGGTTTAAAATGCTCAAATAAATAAAAACAAAAATATTTCGCATCCAATTTTCATCTGCAGCAAAAAAAAAACCTCCAAATTCCCAGTTCCCCATTACTCAACAGTTAAAATTGCAATTGAATCCCGGTTGGATTATCTCTCAAATGTGATCTAGATCCTTTTTTATCAGTTTTTTTATCTGGAAATTTCCATTCGGTTGGGCATGACGCAAAGAACTCCAGAACATATAAACGTATGCTCAAAGAAAGGAAAAAAAATTCGAAAATTTTGAAAGAGCGTTTTTCATTTTTATTGAGGAATAATGCAAAAAATGAGAAAATTCGAAATGTAGTGTTTATGTCAATTACCGCGATGAGGGGGAGGGGGCGAACTCGTAAATCCTTTGGTACATTGCACATTATACATTGCAACTGATCCAAAAAAGGCTCTTTCAAAATTTTTTAAATAATTGAAAATAGTCGATTATGTGAAGTATACGGTCGAGAACTAAAATTCGTGAACAGCCTGACTTTGCATTCTATTATTCTATTCTATTATTCTATTATAGAAGTTTAAGGATTGACGTGACCTATTTTCGCGCCATTTTTTTACAAGAGCAAATTTTTTTATGGTCAAATGTCATGAAACTTCGGCAAATCGTTCTTTGAACAATTATAAGATGATCGATCTATCGTTCAGCTCTTCGTCATATTGTCGATATCAACTTTTCAACAAAAAGTTGATTGATGGCACGCCGTGCAATAAGTCGAGTTTATCGCACGCTGCGCTTCGCGGAGCGTGCTTCAATCTCGACTTCTGCACGATGTGGCATAAAATAGTATAGACCACTCGGGCATAAACTTCGTTTTCGACGAATGTGAAGTTTACAGGCCGAGCCGAAGGCGAGGTCTGTATTCACATTCGTTGAAAACGAAATTTGTGCCCTTGTACTCTAATGTACTAATCGACAATATGACGCAGAGATAAACTATAGATCGATCATCTTATAATTTTTTTTTCTTCTCGTATACCCTTTCGGGTCTTTACGACTTGTTCCCTTCCCACCCCCCTCAACCCCCTGTACCGCATTTGCCGAAGGGAGGGAAAACCTCATTCGAGGGAAAAACCTGCCCTGGTACAGTCGTCCTTTTGACGGGGCTACCGCTCGGCAGTGAAACTGTGAGATTACAGCGCTATAAATTTTGACCGCCGGTGCCGGGAAGCGAACCCGGATCATTGGCATACGAGTCTAGCACTCTAACCGCACGGCGACTACCGTCGGTCGATCATCTTATAATTGTTCGAAGAACGATTTGCCGAAGTTTCATGACATTTGACCATACAAAAATTTACTCTTGTAACAAAATGGCGCGAAAATAGCTTACGTCAATCCTTAAGCCCAAGTGATCTATTAGTATATTAGAGTACGAGGTGTGAAATTCAGTTTTTGACGAATGTGAAGTTTACAGGCCGAGCCAAAGGCGAGGCGAGGTCTGTACTCACATTCGTTGAAAATGGAATTTATCGCCGAGTGCTCTATACTGTTTTATGGCACCTCGTGCGGTAGTTGAGTGTCGAGCAGGCTGCGCGAAGCGCAGCGTGCTTTAAACTTGACTTATCGCACAGCGTGGCATAAAATATTTTATGTCACACCGTGGAGAATTCGAGTTTGAAGCACGCTGCGCAAACCGCAGCGTGCAATAATCTCGACTTCTCCACGGCGTGACATAAAATTTTTTTATTACACTTTCACTACGGCATAATGACTACTCGCCGCGTAAAACTGTTACGAACATTGAGACGCAAATCAGCGGTTACTTTCATGGAAATTACTGCTCGATTGTCAACTGTCACTTTTATTTAATTCACTCCACACTCCATAAAAGTGACAGCTGATTTCAGCACCTCATATTTCATAAAAGTTTCACGCCGTGAATGATCACTATTTCATAATGAAAGTGTAATCAAAAAATTTTTTAAAATATTTGACCCCTCAAGTATGGCGCCCATATCGCGCGGTGTCATCAGCCAGCGGCCTCCCGTCTACTCGAATTGGCTTTTCAATACGCAGTAATTTCTACACTGATGATCAAAAAATTATCATCTAAAATTTAATGATAATCTTGAGCTTTCACCAATAAGTCGCTCAATTACGGTATTCTCTTATACAGATTGTTCTGGAATTTCTAAGACTAATCTAGATCGATAGTACAACCGGTTACCAAGATCGGCGATTGTCGGAAATTTGTTAACAACAAATCAGTAATTCATTGAATCGAAATTTCGTCTGCGTCATTCGACAAAGGAATGTATAGAGTATGTTCGGTAAAAATTTCAGAATTCCTTATGAAAATTAGCTCGATAAACGAGAGGTTCGAATATGCATTTGACATTGAATTCAGTTCCGTATTGTTTACGTATTGAAGAAAACTATTAAAAATAGCTCGAAAAAAAAAATCGAGCCGCATTGTGTTGATAATTTTATCTATTTCCTGGGGAAAAATTTGGAATTTCGATATCTACAATAGTACGAAAGATAATGAATTTTTATCAATCACGGAAAGCGGTCTATACGACATATAAACGCCAGCCGGTGGACAAGCTCTCGGATCTATATGTGGCATAGACGCCATACTTGAGGGGTTAAAAAGCTTTGAAAGAGCCTTTTCTGGATCAGTTGTCTATGTGCAGTCTACCAAAGGATTTAAGAGTTGATCCTCTTCCCCCTAATGGCGGTTGACACCACGTCATTTGCCATAGTAAATAATCCAATTCAAATTCTCTTATTTGCGTTATTTCTCAATAAAAATTCAAAAGGCTCTTTCAAAATTTTCCATAAAAAAAAAATTTTCTAAGCATCTGAATTTTTTGTGGTTCTCTGCAAGAAATCCGAATGGAAATTTCCGGATGAAAAAATCGCCAAAAAACAATCTAGATAACATTCGCAAGATAATCCACTCAGGCCTTGAATTAAAAAAGAATGAAATTGCCATCATTTCCCTACCTTCCCCGGCCACCAAGGAAATCCATGAATCTTCCCCCAAACAACATCCCCAACATCCATCCTGCGTCCACTGGCCGTCAAGCAATGTGCAACCGGTGTAGCAGCTAATCTCAAAGCGAGTGGATGTGCGGGTGGTGGAAAATCCGGTGTATTCTCATTAGCCTCCCCCTCATGCCCCAACTGATGTTCCTGCTCAACTTCACTCAACTCCTCCGAGCTAGCCCCCGGACTCTTGCACCCAGACGACGCATTACTAACCGGATAATCGCACCTTGCATAAGCATTAGTATTCAATCGCTTCAGCGATATCGATAATTTCTGCTTCAAACACTGCTCCTTAATAGCTGTATACGATTCACCACTGGGTAATCCATTAAGTAAAGATGAATCTTTGGCATCATCATTCAACTGTTGGCTCTTATGCTTGCGCTCCTCCTTGTGTTTCTTTTTATGCTTGACCTTGTGCTTACGCCGATGATAAGCCAACGGATCATAGGACGGATTGTACCTAGGCGAAGTGCTCAGTGGTGATCTACCAGGTGATCCACCACTTCCACCCCCAAGCATCTTCCTCCTAGCCTCCTTCTTAGCCCTCTTAAGCGCCCGTTTCGCCGCTTTGGCACAGGCAGAATCCTTACCCGAATTTTGTTTCTGGGGATCCAGCTGCTCCTGCAGTCCATCCTCATCGACCTTGGCCGCCTCAAACTTCCCCCCCAGAGCCTCCTCATTCTCCCCCTCGGACTCGCCAATCGAATTCTTAATCTTCGAAGGTATCTTGAGTACAGTACCCTCCCCCTGAGCGCCAAACGATATTTTTATGATGGGCGTAGCTCTCGTATTCCTCCCATTATCCTCGAATATCGTTTCGTCCCACAGATCCTCCATGGAGCCAACCGATCTCTTCTTCCTCGACACCCTTCCCGTATTTTTAGACTTGACTGTTGAGTCTGCTGCAGCCATCAGCGTTCCCTCCTTATCCCTCTCGTCGTCATCATCATCGTCCTCCGGTATTTTTGCACTCTCCACTGATGAACTGCTCAGACGACGTGGTGTAGCCCGAAAAGCGACATTAGCACCACCCTCGGGCATCGTCGACTCTGATGGCTCAACATCAGACGTACCACAACGATTTATCTGGCTCTCACCCCCAGGATTCCACTCCCCAGGTCTAGATCGTAACCAGCAAGCTCCCACATTCATACTTCCCTCACTCTTATCATCGGGCTTATGCAGTCTCGAAATTTTCGGTATCAGTGATGGCACACTATCCAATATATCATTGCTACTTCTATTTTTATCAGTCTGCTGAACACAACGTCGCTCACTGCGTCTCAACACAATGTCCGTATCGATAACTCTATCACTGAGTTTACGTTTTTTACCAATATCCATATTCTCACTCTTCTCATTGCAGATTGATCGGCAATTATTACACAGCACTTGGCGTGGACGTAATCTAACTGTTGGCCTTGCATTTTTGTACCTAGCTGGAGGATTTATACTCCTTCGCAAATCAATTTTATTTATGACGCTCTTAGTCTTTTTGTCTTGGAAATAACTGAAACGTGCTGCTATTGTTGCCAGCTTGTCACCATCCGGTCCTGCTAAGGGCTCTGGTGGTTGGACTCCACAGGGTAGTCCTCTACAATGAAAATCGTCGGGGGTAATCAACATTTGAACATAATCGTCGTTATCTGGGGAGACCCTTTGGGGGTCTATGGTTCGGGAGCGGGATGCGAAAAAATGATATTGCATTTCACTGATTCGTCATGTGATACGTCAGTGACAGTCATGAGACGGAGGCGAATGTGACGGTAGTATGTTTTAGGACGATTTATTGCCTCGCCGAAGGCGAGGACTGGCCCACTACGCGAGTAAAAAACCCTATGACACTAGTCGTGGAGGATATTTTTCACATTCATACTTCCCTCATTTTCCCCAGTGATTTTCGCTTTTACGAGTTTGGAGAAGGGCCAATACCAATCGCCGGATGAGGAAAAGTGAAAAGCAGTGCGAAAAAGTACATTTTCATCACTTGTATGGAAAGCGAAATTTTACGCACGCTTCATCGTGATGAAATATAGAGTTCGACACTCGGGAGAAAAGTGGTCTTTGACCTTTGGGAGGGTAGCACTCGCCTTCGGCGAGCGCTCAACATCTCTCACGGATCAAAGAGCTATTTTTGTCACAAGCCCAAAATAGTATATTTCGTAACGAGTGCAAAAAAGTGTTTTTTGGCGAGTGGGAGGTTTATATCACGAGCCGAAGGCGAGCGATATAATCCCACAAGCTAAAAAATATTTTGTCACGAGTTACGAACAATATTTTTCATCACAATGTGGCGGAAATGGGACTTTTAGGCACGCGGAGCGTGCCGAAAAGTTCACTTTTCGTCACAGTGTGATGAAAAAAAAATTTCTGATGAGAGGTTTGCAGACCGAGGCGAAGTCGAGGAATGCAATCACGCGAGTCGAAAAAGTTGTTTTCGGCCGAGTGACGAACATAATTTTTCTTCACAATGTCCGTAAACGGCGATTGACCGACACGAAGTGTCCGTAAAACGATGTTTTACGGACAGTGTGATGAAAAACTTTTACGCACTCGAACAACTTTTTTCCGTAGTTATTTTCAAGTTTTCGAGTTTGGTAAAAATTCTTACAATATGACAACGTTACGACGATTTCACTATCTGATCGTTACATCACATGTAACTAGTGGTAATATAACTTGGAATTCGGAGTTGGCCTCATGATTTCATAATGACAAGGGACCCAATAGTGGATTGTAAAACACATACAATTTATGTCTTCAAATGGAAATAAGGAATTGAAAATAGGAATTATCAGATGTGACAACATTTTATGACCAAAAAACTCATGACTATCAGTTTACATGTAGCTAGTTGGTTCAGAACCGTGGACGTTATGACTGGGATTGTGACATGAGAAAGATTGATTTTACATGACGGTGATTTTTTTTGTGACCTGATGGATTTAAAAATGTGGTTATTTCGCATCGCTGTTCAGGAGGGAAGAGGGACAATTTGGTTAACAAAATTTAGTAGGATTTTTAGCAGTAATCTGTAAGAATCTTATTGAAGCTCTACTAGAAATTCATAAGCATCAATTTTGCAAGTTCCGCTTCATTTAATATTTTTTTAACATCGCAATCAATCCAATTTTTCTTCAGATCAAGTTTTCTATGATTTTGAAAAAAAAGTCATCTTCACTTGAAGATCAGTTTTTCGAAAAGATCTAGGTAATCTAAGAACGAAATCACAGAATTCATGTACCGGAAAATGAGATCTACAAAGAACTTCCATGTCCTCCGCATGTCCTCGACAATATAAATCGTCACAGGTAATCACACTAAGGGAAAAAAAATTTTCTAAAAACGGAAAAAATCTTTCCGCAACCATTCTTTGCAGATTGGGGTAAATCAGGCCATACTTGCGATACGAATCTATCGCCTCCCAAATAACTCATTCGAGTTTGCACACAATCAAGGATCAAAATTGAAAAGTTACCTGATTAACAAGATTTTTACAATCTTCAAAATTGACTGTAACAAACTCAAATAATTCATTCGAAAACTATTCATTCTTATCGTAAGAATCGTCCAACTTGCCTCAATCTCCTGGCAGTTTTTCTTCAGATCAAGTTTTCTATTCGATTTTTTAAAAAGTCATATTCACTTGAAGATCAGTTTTTACAAAAGATCTCGATAATCTACGAATGAAATCATACAATACATTTAGCCCAAAATGAGATCTGCAAAGGACTTCCGTATGTCCTCCGCAGGTCCTCGACAAAATAAATCATCACAATTAATCACACTAACAATAAGGGAAAAAAGATTTTCTAAAAACGGAAAAAATCTTGCCGCAACCATTCTTTGCGGATTGGGGTAAATCAGGCCATACTTGCGATAAGAATCGATCACCTCCCAAATAACTCATTCGATTTTGCACACAATCAAGGATCAAAATTGAAAAGTTACCTGATTAACAAGATTTTTACAATCTTCAGAATTGACTGTAATAAACTCAAATAATTCATTCGAAAACTATTCATTCTTATCGTAAGAATCGTCCAACTTGCCTCAATCTCCTGGCAGTTTGTCCTCAGATCAAGGGAAAAAAGATTTTCTAAAAACGAAAAAAAAATCTAACAAACTCAAATAAGTTATTCGAAAACTATTCACTCCAGCCCCAAGAATGGCCCACTCGCCTCAATCTTTTCACCCCCTGCAGGACCCAATCCAACAAAAGATTGTGACAAAAATGCACCTAATCCTAGAATCCTCTATTTTCCTCCCCGCGCAACATTCGAACATAATCACCGTGACCCACGTATAATGTTCGTGCGATAAAAATTGAATTTTCAATCGCAGTATTGTTTTCTTGCATACGCGTACATCTACGACGAAAGCATCGCGCAACCGACCTATCGATCGGCCTGAATTTACGACCGCACTTGTCTCCACACTATATATCCCCCTAAATCATAAACCTCATGGCTACCACCCCCGCCCCCGCAACCCCCGAATTCCCAATTCGCCCCAAATCTCACCAAAAACCCCAATCAAAACTCAAAATTCCGCCCTCTCGCCCCCCAATATTCACAACCCCCCGAGCAAACCCCCGAGATGTTGATCATCTCCCCAACAATCCAGGATAAACCAGTCCTCACGATGAACCGTGAAACCCACCGAAATCATTTAAACAAATGAACCGATGAGTAACACAAAACGCTAGGAACTAAAGTTTAATTTCCAGTGTTTGAAGTCCCCCTGAAATAAGCACCCACTCTCTTTGTGTGGTGATGCCCACTGAAATGAGCACCTACTCTGGATAAATAATATTGCCAAGAGCTGGGCAAAACTCGGTTATTGAGAAAGAGAACATTTGCACAATGATACGACCGAAGAGATACGCTCTCACACATGTACACTGTTAACGACTCCAGCCGGAGATTCGACGGTGATTCAATGAGATTAGCTCTACCAAGAGAATGTGCAGTTGATCATCCAGAAGACGAGGATCATTGACGATCCCTGGAGGACAAGAGTGGCTTCGCTTACCTCTTGGTGGCATCGAGTAGTGCTCCCTGGAATGACTTGACCCCGTGGTCAAAGCTGACGACAATAATGTCTGGTAGTGCAGACTCGACGGTAACTAGGATCTTGTCGCCCATCGATATGTCCTTGGACATTACCACCGTCTCCGCCATGTTGAGGGTGTCCCTCCAGGTGGCGAGAATTCTTTTGAAAAAATGTTATGTGACCCACAAGGCCCTGACGGTAATAACGCCCGTTTAGCTCGTCGTCTGGGACGGATGACGTGAGAGCTGACGTGAGGGGGATATCTGGTGGAGGTAGATCTCTCGCCTTGGGCCACTCTCCTCTTGGTGTTTGCCTTAGCTCTGCATTCGTCTGCTGTCGGGGGCAGTCGGGGGGCTTCGGCCCCTCCGATTCGGCGCATTCGACGAAACGTGATGCACAGATGTCCACAGCTGGCCTGCGAGTGGCCGCGCGCTGCGCATGCGTCAGGGCTGTATTTTTGAATCGACGAACCCAGGGGTACGAGCGACTCTCTGCTCGTGTTATTTTTTTTTTATGGTATTATTCAAAATGATGAAGGGGAGTGGATGCTTCGCACCTTTATGAGTATTTTTACGAGAATCTGTGATTTTATTACGTAATTGTGGACTGGGAGGTGGTGGCTGGGTGAGTAGCGGTGATGTGATTGTTTATGGAGATTTCGGTGGATATATGTGAGGAACATGTGGATGTAGATGAACGGGTTTTGGAGATTGTCGGGGAGATTTTGATATCGTAATGACAGCTGAGAAATTTGATATTGAGAGGCCTCTCTGGGATCTGGGGACCTTCGCAGGACGGTGGAGGCATTTCGCTTGGGTGACGGATCCCAGATCCTGTTTCGCGAGTGAGAAGGAACTCGCGGAGGCCAAGGCACTCTATGATGACTACAGGTAGTGGGTCGGGCTCGTTGGGATGAGGGGATTTATTAATTTCTGGGGGCTCGGTGGGACCATTTATGCGGACATTTGGGGAATTCTTTTAGAGCTGGACGCGCGCCAACAGACACGACCCGGGAGCAGCTGCTGCGCGCTAAGAATTTGTACGAGTCGGCTTTTCATCCTGACACGGGGGAACTGCAGAATGTCTTCGGGAGAATGTCGTTTCAAGTGCCCGGGGGAATGGCGATCACTGGGGCTATGCTTCAGTTCTACAGGTAGGGAGCTGGGAGGTCAGGCGTGAACAGGCGTGAAGACACTTTGGGGGTCGCGGGGTTGGTGGGCATCAATTTTAGGAGTTTTTGCAAATGTTTTGAACTCGCAAATAATTTTTTGTGGCACAATTGTTATTTTTGCTTTCGAATGGAAGCATTGTAATTGTTCAAATTCAAGATTTGGATTTTTCGTGTTGTGTATGGACCCATTATGATCCAAAAAGTCTGAAAATGCAATTTACGAGCGCATGTATGTAAACAAATTTTTCTCCGATTATTCGGCAGGGGGGTATATCTGTGAAATTTAAGTCTTGGGACCCCTTGAACAGGGTGTCATGTATGACGGAATATGGGAATAACTAGGGAAAATCGAAAAACTACATTTTTTCCTGTTTTTACCTTGAAAATGCTTCTTGCGTCGCACTGTTAGAAAATTACTCTTGAAATTCCAAGGGAAAAAGCTTGAAATTTTTAGCAACGACAAATTTACGAATCTATTAATTTCTTGAATATTCAAGTAATTCTCGATTTTCAGGTCCATACGGCACTGAAAAACCTTGAGATTTTTTAAAATTCGGGCAATAACTTTTCTGAATTTTCGATCTACTGAAAATTGAATTGTATGTGATGTTCAATTTTAACGATGAGTTTGGAAATTCCAGCGTTCATTGAAAAATCAATGATTGTTCAACATGAAAAACCCAATTTTCTTGAATTTTCCAGATGAATGAGAAATTTAGTGAACCTTTTCAATTGAAATTGAATTCAACTGCACAACATTAAAAATTCAGCTGACGCTGCGACTGAAATTTCAAGAAATTTCTAACAGCGCGTAGCTTTCATACGATTTTAGCTTTTTTTTTGTAAATCTTCGTTACACTCCAAAGAATAAAGTTAAGCCTCCGTTTTACGTTATTCATAATAGGTCATGAATAAATGAATTTTGCATTTCATAAATTTTACTCTACGCTGGAGACATGAAAAATTTATGACATTCAAAATTCATTTATGCATGATCTGCTGTGAATAAAATAAAAGAGATGCTTCACTTCACTCTTTGGAGTGTAAGAAACATTTAAAAAAAGCTAAAATCGTCTGAAAATTATGGTTTGAATGAATTCCCTATTCCCGACTTGAGTAGTGAAGTGGTTTAGAAATTCAAAAAAGATAGTGAATTATTTATCAAGACCGGTTTTGTAGCTCTGACTTGGTTTTCCACGTTTTATCCTGCATTAACTTCCTTAAGAACAGGGTAAACAGTCCAATGTTCCAATGAGAAAGAAAGTCAAATACCAGCAATCGAACAAATAAGATTCAGCAATAACTTGAATAGGGGAACGCTTCACAATGTCTCATTGACTTTGCGAACATTGTATTGGGTTCTAAAGAGAACAAAATTTCCATTCCACTGCATTAAGCATTTGTTCGGCGATTGACATGCGAATTGGCTCAAGGATATTCATCGAAGACCTATCTTAAAGCTGAATTGACACGGATAACAAAATCCTAAAAAAAACTAGCGAATTCGTCAGAAAATTTTATTGTATTTCTATTGAACTTTCTACTAGTTTTTGACCGATTCTATTGACATGTTCAATAGAAAAAGTGAATAGAATTCAATTTTTCTATACAACTTATTCTCTTCAGATATTATCTATAGAATTTCCACAGCTCAAATTTTCCAAGTTTTTTTCATTCAATTTTTCTCTTCTTCTCATGAAGAAAATTAAACAAAAAAACTTAGAAAGTTTGAGCCGAGGAAAATTCTATAAAAAATTTCTCAATAGAATAAGTTTTACAGAAAAATCGAATTCTTTTGACTTTTTCTATACAATATTTTCCACTGAATTTCAATAGAATCTGCCAAAAACTAATGGAAATTTCGATAGAAATCCAATAGAATTCGCTAGGTTGTTCTATTCATCTTTTTCATCCAAATTTTCAATGTTTTTTTATGTGATTTTTCAATGAATAGAGAAGAAAAGTAATAAAGTGAAAAAAACTTGGAAAATTTATGTCAAAGAATTTCTACATAAAATATCTCAATAGAAAAAATTGTATAGAAAGACGGAATTCTGCTGATTTTTTCTATAAAATGGTTTCTGTTGGAGATTTTCTATTAAAAAATATACAATAAGACTGTGTAACTCTTCAATAGAATCGGCCAAAAACTCATAGAATTTTCTATCGAATTCCCTAGATTTTTCTATGAAATTTTGCATGGACTTCTCCATTCCATCATTTCATCACTGATTTCACTCTTGCAGAACTACAACAGCAGTGGTATTCTGGCAATGGGTGAATCAATCGTTCAATGCCCTCGTTAATTACACAAACAGAAATGCAAACAGTCCAATTACAGAGAAACAATTAGCCACGGCTTATGTGAGCGCGACTGCAGCTGCCATGCTCACTGCCATGGGATGCAAATCCTTCTGGGCGAAACGGGCGAACCCTTTGCTGGCTGTGAGGCATCGCAAATTTATTATTTACTGTTTTTACAATTCAAAAAACAAAACAAAATTCTAAGCGTCATCTTCTTCTTCAGAGATACGTGCCTTTCGCCGCAGTCGCCGCTGCCAATTGCGTCAATATTCCTCTCATGAGGCAGAATGAGATCCTACAAGGTGTGGATCTAGCTGATGAGAACGGGAATAAGCTCACACAGTCCAAAGTAATTAAATTTAATTGATTATACTGCCCCTTAATTCGATTGAATTGTCTTCAGAGTAGCTTTATGTTAGATTGCAGCTGTGAAGGGGATAAGCCAAGTTACGATATCAAGGATCATCATGTGCGCACCAGGAATGTGCATTCTCCCACCGATAATGGAGAGATTAGAGAAATTCAACTGGATGCAGAGGATCAGAGCTCTTCATGCACCCATTCAAGTGCTTGGTTGTGGTATCTTGTGAGTGAACACTTGATCAAATTATCGATTGATCAAATTCCTCGGAATTTCAATGATTTCAAAATTTCAAATTCAAACTGTCACTTTTTGGTAGAATTTCGTAAAAAGTATACCGGAAATTTCAGCCGAAATTTTGTAACAGTGGAAATTCAGAGTCAGTAAAATTGAATATTGGGTTTAACTATTGTTCATTGTTTTCAGCTTATCGTTCATGGTGCCCACAGCCTGCGCAATTTTCCCTCAAAACTGGTAATTATCCGCAAAAAAAAATAATTTGAGTGTGAACTGATAAACTAAAAAACGATTCGGATGGAAATATGTTCAGTAGGAAATATTTTATAGAAAAAATTGAAAAAAAAATTGTCTCGCCTTTGGCAAGCGCTACACATCTCCCGCGGGTCAATAATCAAAAATTTATTCTCTACAAAACAATTTCAATCAAATTTTACAAAAATAATGGTGTTCTTAAGAGAAACAAACTGTTATATCTTAGGAAATATTGGGCCGATTGGGATGCAACTGCGCATTAAAGTTGAGCTCAATCACAGCTATCGTATGCCAACATTTCAGATTTCTGTCTTTGAATTTCTCCGTATTTATGCTACACTCTCTAAAAATAAATCACCTAAAACCGATATCATTACTTCACGTTCCCTACCATTGGACATTATTTCCGAGAAGAACTAGAAAATGTCAAAATCCGACTAACACAAAACTTGCCTTCAAAAGCAAAACCCATAAGAAATCACATAAATCAAACACAGGGGAGGGTGGGGTAAAACGGATACTGTAGACTTTTTTTGTAATTATTCATAACTCAGAAACAAATTTATCAACTGAGCTTAGTTTAGGCTCATCACAAAGGGAAGAGTTGTTCTTTGCTTTAAAAAAAAATTCTATTTCATCAATGTTTCATCAATTATTTCATTTCCATTATTAACATTTTTAAAAAAGCCAAACGTGTCCGTTTTACCCCACCCTCCCCTAACTTGTCAGTCAACCCATGAACAGTTCAAACGTTGTGACAGAAAATACTGCGCTACCTCTCTACCCTTTTACTACCTCAATCACAAATATGAAATTCATTTCCAGCTCAATATCCACCAGTACCCTGAAACGTTGGGAGCCAGAGAACTACGAGACCCTCGTGAAGAATTGCAAAAACAAGGAGATCCCCGAGTACCTGTACTTCAACAAGGGACTCTAATCCTCAAATCTGCATTTCACCAGTCAATTATATCAGTAGGGAAGTGGTAAAACGGTTTAAGTCAATTTTGACGATTGGTCAGTTTTCAATGAATATCTCAGAATCTAAGAGAGATAGCAAAATTTTTGTTATAACCTTTTTTGTAGAGCCGATTGAGCCCTACAATAAATGTAATTACGAAAATTTCGCTATCTCCCTTAGATTCGGAAATATTCCCCAAAAATTCAGCTGGGAGATATAAATTCACAAGAATGAAATGAGAGAATTTACGTCGTTAGCCATGTTCATCATCCACTACAGTTGCTTTGCATAAACATTTAAATGGAATGTCCCATCCGAGAAGGATCCAATGGCCAATAGGAGATTTGACACACATATTCCCACAAAATTCAGTAGCGAAGTGGTAAAACGGTACAAGTCAATTTTTACTATCGACCAGTTTTCGATGAATATCTCGGAATCTAAGGGAGATGGAAATTTTTTTGTTATAACCTTTTTTGTAGAGCCAATTGAGCCCTACAACTAATGTAATTACGAAAATTTCGCTATCTCCCTTAGATTCGGAAATATTCCCCAAAAATTCAACTGGGAGATATAAATTCACAAGAATGAAATGAGAGAATTTACGTCGTTAGCCATGTTCATCATCCACTACAGTTTCTTTGCATAAACATTTAAATGGAATGTCCCATCCGAGAAGGATCCAATGGCCAATAGGAGATTTCATACACATATCCCCACAAAATTCAGTAGCGAAGTGGTAAAACGATACAAGTCAATTTTTACTATCGACCAGTTTTCGATGAATATCTCGGAATCTAAGGTAGATGGAAATTTTTTTGTTATAACCTTTTTTGTAGAGCCAATTGAGCCCTACAACAAATGTAATTACGAAAATTTCGCTATCTCCCTTAGATTCGGAAATATTCCCCAAAAATTCAGCTGGGAGATATAAATTCACAAGAATGAAATGAGAGAATTTACGTCGTTAGCCATGTTCATCATCCACTACAGTTGCTTTGCATAAACATTTAAATGGAATGTCCCATCCGAGAAGGATCCAATGGCCAATAGGAGATTTGACACACATATTCCCACAAAATTCAGTAGCGAAGTGGTAAAACGGTACAAGTCAATTTTTACTATCGACCAGTTTTCGATGAATATCTCGGAATCTAAGGGAGATGGAAATTTTTTTGTTATAACCTTTTTTGTAGAGCCAATTGAGCCCTACAACAAATGTAATTACGAAAATTTCGCTATCTCCCTTAGATTCGGAAATATTCCTCAAAAACTCAACTGGGATAAGTCGACTTGAACCGTTTTACCACTTCGCTACTGATATTTCTTTCACTATTGATAGAAAAATTGCAAAAGCAAGGGATCCCCGAGTACCTCTACTTCAGCAATGACTAATCCTCAAATCTGTATTTCATCAGTCAATTATATATCTTTCACCATCTAAGACTGTTTAACGATAATCTTTCCGCAACAATGACAAAAGTTCGGAAACCATCAGTGCGACAATATGTACAACGGCTCGTTAATTACGACAAACATGTTCATTCAATCGAAATATTTTGTTACAATCATAATCAGTTTTATTACATTATTAAAAAAGATTGGAATATTCTCAAGATTATTGTGGTAATTCATTACATATTTGATCGCGATTGTGCCGAGTGTGTTGCTGACTGCTGGGGAACGTAGCCAATCCTCTCCTGGATCTCACTCTGCGAGGCTTTGCCTCCCCAGGACGGGGGGTTGAAGGCGGATTTCTCACTCGCCTTTTTCGCCTCTCGCTCTTTTCTGATCACCTCGTACTCCTGCAGATCGTCGAGACGAAGCTCTATGCGACTGGGACTTCGTCGAATCATTCTTCTAGAATTGGAAGAGAACATTCCGATTTGAAGGGAAAGGCGAGATGATTCATTTCACGTGAATGGGGGTCTGACGAATTTATACGCATGAAGAAATTTTTATAGAAGAATCTGCAGAGTTCGATGGAAAATTCTAGTGGCTTTTAGCGGATTGTATTGAAGAATTTTGCAGCTTCACTGAGCGTTTTTCATAGAGAATGTCTAATAGAAATTATTCTATAGAAAAATTTCGTCTTTCTATAACACTTTCAATTTTATATAGGACACATTTTCTACAGGGATTTCTCGACATGAATGTTCCAAGTTTTTTCTACTGTATGTTTCTTCTCTTTTCATTGAAAAAATCAAACAAAAAAATTGGAGTGAAGTAATTTCTATGGAAAATATGTCAACTGAATAAGTTTTGTAGAAAAATCGAATTCTATTCATTTTTTCTATAGAATATTGATTGAATATCTCTATTGAAAAAAAGCGCAGATTTTCTAGCGAATTCACCAAGTTTTTTAATGAAATTTTTTGTACGTGTGATATGCAATCTGTGATATAAAAAAATTTAATAGAAAAATCTAACGCTTTGTTCAGGGAATTCCATTGGAATTTCCAACTGGCTAGACCTAGAAGAAATCTATTGGAATTCTATTAGAATTCTTCGTTTTTGCGCCGATTTCTATTGAAAATTATGCAACTTTGGCATTAAATGTTCTCATAAAATATTTGATTGAACAAAGCGGATTTTCATTTTTCTATACGTACTATTCTCTTGATATTTTCGGCAGATAAATTTCTTCACAATTTTTTTAATGCATAAATACTCAACAGAAGCGAATCACTAGATCTTGATTTTTTCACACAATTTATTATACTGAAATATCTCCCATAGAAATCCCTCACCTCAAGTTTTTTAATAAAAAAAAATCGAGCAAAACAACTTGAAGAATTCCAACAGAACGCTTCAACAGAATAAATCGCATAGAAAAATTCAAATCGATTGATTTCTTCTACATTTTTCTACTGAATTCCCCATAAGTGTACGAAACCCATTCGAATCAGTCGTAAAATGGGGAAACGATTGAGCATACGGCCCTGAGTACTTCGCGCAGGATTCAACATGGCCCCCGCTTCGTAGCTCCCCTTGGAAATCGAAGAAGTCAATAATTTATTTACCCAGAAAAAAATGCCAATTGATTATCAATCGAGCACTCGAATGAGCTGATATCGTTGGAATAATCTTATTTACGAGATAAAATTACAATTATCGATGATTAAATGAGTTCAAGTAGAATATAAAGAATTTCTGCCTCCTCGTGGCTGAAAATTGGTTGCCATAAACACACTGCGCGTCCGGCCGTCGGACTGACTGCACTGGCTTCATTTATTTGTACATATAGTTTGTAATTGTAAAGTTGTCTACTGGATAGTATAAAGTGAATAAATATCGACAAAAGAATGCTCTATTTGGAAGATTATGTTGAAAGTACGTAAGAACGTTATGTAATTGGGAAAATAAAAAAAACATGAAGGCTTGGGCGTTCGTAGGAACGCCAAATTATCGGGGAGGAATTACTAACCTTTCTGCTTAGACACGGTTCTGTGGGGTTTTGGGATTTGTGTGATTATTCGAGCTGTCGATTGTTTCCCTGTACTCTGAATTATTTTATCAATCAGGTGTTTTTTTTCGTGGGTGGGGTACACACTATTCGAAGGGCTATTGAGAGATTATTTATTTTTCGACAATGCTGTCCACTGAGTTCAGGGCTTTGAGGTTAAGATGATGTTTTCAAAACAAATAGTAGTTGTCGAGGCTTATCTCTTGGAAATTCAAAAATTGGGGTCTTCGGATCGATCAAGATTTTTATAAGTTTTTGATTTTTTTCAGTGATCGAGCATCTCCCTCAGGAGCTCAGGGATCGATTTACAGAAATGAGGGAAATGGATTTAGGTGTACAGAGTAAGTTTAAATTGTGAAAGATAGTACAACACTAAATAATTTTTTTATTCCTTTTATTATGAATCAAGACTTGAATCGGATTTACCAAGGATGGAAAATTTAATAGAGAAGTTACTCTGAAATATTCTACTTGTCCTACAAAAATGATATATGGTGTGAATCATCATTTACTATAGACGGATGACATTTGTGCTATTCTATTAAAACTGGTGTTTCATAGAAAATTTTATAGGTGCTGATTTTTCTATAGCACTAATTCTGTTAGAATTTTTTCTATTATAAGAATTTTTGGGCACGAAATTTTCAAGTTTTCTTTCTTGGATTTTATTATGAATTTACAAGAAACACTCAAAAAATAATTGATGTAGAAACATCGAAATCTAATTACTTTTTTCTATCAAATGTCTATTGTTTAAAAATCGCACTGCAAAGTTTGGTAATTTTCAATAGACATCGACAAAAAAAATACGATTTTTAACAGAATATCAATAAAATTCTAATAGAAGTACAATGGAATTTCTGACATGAGGCACTAGGTTTTCATGGAATTTTTCAGAAGTATATAAATCAATAGAAATTATTCCATTCTATTCCATAAATTACTCCATTTCGTCAACATTCCAATGAGTTCTTAGCATTTAAAAAAAGTCGAGTGTCGATTTTGCCCCACTTGTCTCTGAATCAAAAAATAGTACAATTTTTAAACACATAATTCAATAATAGGAAATGAAAAATCAAAAATAATCTCATTTCAGATTCAATGGACAGTTTAGAAAAAAAAGTGAAGACATTTTTTTCAAACGCCAAGAAGATGAAGCCCCTCGACAAAGAAGCAGAATACGAGAACATTCGTAAGGAGTACTACAAAACCCTGGAGGACGCCGACGAGAAGGTCCACCTCGCCAATCAAATGTATGATCTAGTCGACAGATATCTCCGACGCCTCGACCAAGAACTCCACAAATTCAAGATGGAACTGGAAGCTGACAATAAAGGTATAACTGAAGTGCTGGAGAAGCGTTCACTGGAGTTGGATCAGCCTCCCACGAACAGTAGTCAAAAAGAGAATCGTTACAGTTTTACATCGAGTAGATCTCGAGACCATCACAGCCATTGTAAGTAAACAGTTGACTAAAAATCCACCTCCCCAGGGGCCATTCAAATATTACGTCACACGTTTTTTTGGACTTTCTAGATCCCCTATCCCAAAATTTGAATTGAAAAATAAGAATAAGAAAAAGAAGACAAATGATCAGTTGATAAATCTTTCTGCGACATTATTTGAACATTTCGTAACTTATTAAGTTGCCATCACAGAATTCCAAAATGACCTTTTGGGAATTTTTGGGATAGCTTGAAGAATTGATGAAACATTTGCGAATTTGTTGACTAAAAAATGGAAAAAAATAGAAATGATCCTCAGCGGATCCACTCGCCTGTCATAACGAATTTTTTAGTTTCTTCATAAAATTGGAATTGAAAAATAAGAATACGAACAAAGACAAATGATTACTTGCACAATTAAATCTTTGTGCGAAATTCTTTGAACATTCCGTAATTCATTAAATTGTTGCTATCACAGAATTCCGAAATGACCCTTTGTGAATCTTTCAAAAATGGAAAAGAATGGAAATGCCCCTCAGTGGACCCTCCCCCCTGGTTATGGCGAATTTTTTAGTTTCTTCACAAAATTGGAATTGAAAAAGATTTCGAATTTCGATTGCGAATGAATATTTGCGATTTCGTCAATTAAAAATTGAAAAAAATATGACGTGAGGTCACAGCCTAAGCAATCCTCTCCCCCCTTTCGTCACAAACTGTAATTGTGCGACGTAATGATTGAGTGCCCCCCCCCCTCCAGTCCTTATCAGAGAAGTTTGCATCACGATAAAAAAAATTTTCAGCTCGTTCAGAAAAACGGCGAGATTCCAATGCTTCCTCAGCTTCAGTGGAGAAACGCCTGGCAGTGGAGAAAGTGCCAACAAATCTCCCTGAGTCTCGGCCAGCATCAGCCAACTCAGGGCCTCTGATTTCCAACAACTCTACAAGTTTACCAGCAACACCAACAGCCATTGGTAACTCTGTTGGCCCTGTTAGCTACAATCTTGGTCACATTGGTGCTGGTGGTAATGCAATAGCAGCTGCTGCATCCCAAGCAATAGCTGCGACACAACAAATGCAACAGGGTCGTCGTACTGCCAGTCTGAAGGCCAGTTACGAGGCAATTAACACTGGTGGTGGTGTTCATGCCACTGAATTCAGTCGGGAATTGGCTGGTGCTGCCCAAACAGCCATTGCAGCCATTCACGAATCAACGAAAAAACACAAAAAGTAATGACATTACTTGCACAAGTGAACAGTTCACTTATTTGACGATGGATTGGATTAATTAACCTGAATTATTGTTCTTCACCATGAATTTGCGTTTTTAGAAAAGTTACAACTGCTGTACCAAGCTCGAGTGTCGTAACTCCTGCGGTCCAACCGCCGGTATCACCACCGGTTACTGCAACCACAACCGCTGTTACTGATCCTGATAATCCGGACTGGACATATGATCCTAATGAGCCACGTTACTGTGTTTGTAATCAGGTGTCTTACGGAGACATGGTTGCCTGTGATAATTCCGATGTACGTTGTGAATATTTTCACGGACGAAAAAATTTCAGTAGAAAACCCAGCGAATTCAATAGAAAATTCTGTTGGATCTCTATTGAACTTCCATTAGTTTTTGGCGATTCTATTCGTTCAGCCTCATATAGATGAAACTAGCAAATGAAAATACGAGAGGTAATCAACGAAATTTAATGTACGAGTAACTGTTCCTCTTCAAGGAAAATTCAATTCTCAAAATCATAAATTATCTCATTCGAAAGTTTCAGCCGGAAATGAGAAAATAGGAAACTCGCAGTTTTACTGCGCGCTTTTTTTCGTAGAAAATTATCGAAACTATTTCATAAAAAAAATCAGTAGAATTTGATCCTTCTATAACATTTTTTCTATTGAGATATTTTCTGTAGAAATTTCTTGACATGAATTTTCCATTTTTTTTCTAGTCTTTCTCTTCTCTTTTTATTAAAAAATCAAACAAAAAATTCAGAAAATTTGAGCCGAGAATTTTTCTATAGAAAGTATTGCAGTACAATAAGTTGTGTAGAATAATCGAATTCCGTTGATTTTTTCTATAGATAATAATCTACTTGTTTACTGACCATTTCTATGGAAAAAGAATGCAGATAAACTGCTGAATTTTTAAATAGAATCGGCAAAGAAAACTGCACAGATGAGCTTCGAAATTTTTCAGTAAGAGTCGGCCAAGAACTGGTAGAAAGTTCAAGAGAAATAAAATAGAGTTTTTTAGCGGATTCGCTAGGTTTTTTAATGAAATTTTTGAGTGCGTGTCTCTGTTGTTGATTTTTCTTGACGAGATACTCATGGAATTTCTTCATCTTTTAGTGCCCCTTCGAGTGGTTCCATTACCCGTGTGTGGGTATCGCAGCCCCACCAAAAGGCAAATGGTACTGTCCTCAGTGCACGTCTTCCATGAAAAGACGAGGTGGACGGAAAAATTGATCGCTAACACTCATTGTTCACTGTCTTTCTCATTATTTCAACCATTTTTGACTGAGTTGTTATGTGTAAATATACAGGAAAATTATGGAATATGGGTTTACGTTGTTTTTATGGGACGTTTCGTTTTTTATTGCTGGGAATATGAACGCTGTTGTGGTGTGGTGAAGAATAAGACATTGTTTCGACATGTAATTATTTTCAAATGTTTAGCGAAATTTTTTCCGGGGCTTCATTACACTGTTGAAGAATTACTCCTGAAGTTTCAAGTGAAAAATATTGAAATTTTCAACAACAATTTCTTTGCGTGAAATTTCCATACATATTGTTACTGACAAGTTAATTAATTTCTGAAATACACAAAGAAATTGCAATTGTCACGTTCATATGACAATGAAAGTTATTGAAAATTGTAGGAATTTGAGTAGCTTTTATTCTGAATCTCAATTCTTCAGAAATTCAATTTTCACAATAACTTTAAGAATTCAAGTTGTTATTGAAATATAAATGACGCCTAACAAATTTTAAGAATAGCTAAATTTCACGTGTTATTTTCATGATCGAATAATGAACAAAAAATGATGATCGTGAAGTGAGTTGAATTCCCCAATTCTCCGCGTGAAAAAGCCAGGGAAAAAATGGATAAATTATGAAAGGTATAAAATTGATATTGAAATTGATGTCTACTGATAAGTTATTTAAGGACAGTAAGACAGAATTGCACAATCCTGTGAGGATTGACATTGATAAGCCCCTGTGGAATTTGAATACTTACTATGGTCGCTGGCGACACTTCGTCTTCCTCATGGACATTCGTACGATATTTGTGTCTGAAAGGAAATTGTGGGAGGCTAAGGAACTCTGTGATCTATACAAGTAAACGATGTTCTTCACTTCGTGACAAAAATGTTAATCGAACATTCCCACTTCTGTGAATCAGGGAGAAAAAGGAGCCGCAGGGGGTGACGGAGGCTGACATAAGGTGGGCTAAAAAACTGAGAGACAGTTCATTTCATCCAGACACGGGTCAACCACTGAATTTAATCGGTAGAATGTCGTTTCAGCTTCCTGGAAATATTTTTTTAACCACTGGGATGCTTACGTATTACAAGTAAAATATTTGCTTCATACTTCAGTTTTTTCTATTCCTTTATCTTTTTTTTCGTTGAAAAATCAGGCCAATGTCGAAATCGGAAATGGTAATGAGTTGATTCTAGCATTTGTTGATTGTTCATTGATCTAGGGAGCAAGTAAATGATCACTTATTATCGAAAAGATTCCGGACACGGAAAAATTGAATAGCAAAACCTAATGTTTTTTTCAATAAATTTCAAAACTCTGCAAGAATTTTATTAGAGTTCTATTTTAATTGAATGGAAAATTATTCAACGTTGCTGGCCCTTTTTCAATCTATATTCCATAACAAAAAGTCGATAGATGCTGATTTCTCTGTACGACACTGGGGAAAAAAATTATTGTTGCCAAATATTCATTTACTTGAGAGAAGTATGTATTTTTTAAATACCGTATTAATTTTTTGAGTTTATTTCCTGGAATTTTATAATGAAAAAAATTTTATAACGGAAAAAAATCAGAGGAGTTATGCCCAAGAATTTGTTAGAATTCCGTTTAATTAATTTAGAATTACTTAGAAAATCCGCGTCCAAGAATTTCAATAAAAAAAATCTCAAGAGAACAATTCAAACAGAAAAATCGAAATCTATTGACTTTTTTCTATCAAATATCATTTTGCCCCACTCTTCCCTATCTAATAGAATCTACAAAAAAAATGAATTAAGGATAATTCTCTTCAATTTTAATAAAATCCCCATCGAATTTCTACAGAATCCCAATAAAATTTTGTAGCGAACTCGCAATGGTTTTCTATTGAATTTTTTCATACGTGTGTCGTCGACATGTCCATTTTAATGAAAAAAAAATGGACTGCCGTAAGGCGGAGCACGAAACACACGAGTTTAATAATTAAAAAAAAATTCTGTTGCTCAATTGAACTCGCCCAATCAATCCCACCCCCCGCCTGACCCCACAAAAAATTAAAAACATTTCTAAATTTCCCTGAACTAATAATTTCCCTCAGAACTTCGCGTTCAATGGTGGCTTGGCAGATCCTCAATCAAGCCTTCAATGCGGCCGTTAATTACACGAACCAGCCCGCAACATCCCGCATACCACAAGACCCTGAAACACTGAAACAAGCCTTCATTGGTGCAACATTTGCCAGCTGCATCGTAGCCATTGGATTCAACCATTTTTTTGCCTCCCGGGGGCCCCTCGTTGCCGTTAGTTGACGTCATTCCAAATTACAAAGCTCTCCCACACTGTAAAACTCCTAAAACCCTCTTTCCCTCCTATTTATAAATAGAAGTGGTCGCCATTCTTCGCCGTTGCGGCAGGAAATGCAGTTAACTTGCCGATAATGAGAAAAAGAGAAATTGAAAGAGGCATTCCACTATTCCACAATGATCCGACGAACCCCCAAGTCATGAACTCGAGAGTAGCAGCGGTCAAAGCTATCTCAGAGTGTACTCTGTCTAGAATTATTATGGCAGCACCTGGTATGCTGCTCATACCAGTAATAATGAAAAAAATTAAATTACTGAGTTTTTATCAGCGCAGAGCATGGCTCAGCTCGCCATCAGAAGCTATCCTCGTTAAACTCTTGTTAGTACATCTCGGCACGTACGAAAAAAATTTCATCGAAAAAATTGGCGAATTCGCTAGAAAATTCTATTAGATTTCTATTGAATTTTCTATTCTACTCAGATATTTTCTATAGACATTCCTGCGCTGTAGTTTTTCAAGTTATTTGTTTGATTTTTTTTTATTGAAAACAGAAGAAAAAACTTAGAAAACGTCACGTTGAGGGATTCCTGTAGAAGATAGGAACAGCAGAAAAAAGTTCTATAAAAATATCGAACTCGACTGATTTTTTTTATAAAATGTTTTCTATTGGACATTTTCTTTAAAAGACGTGCAGTAAGCTGGGCCAATTTATCAATAGGATCTGAAGAAAACTAATAGAATTTTCAAAGAAGTTCAATAAAAATTCAACAGAACTTTTTATCGAATTCGCTGTAAAATTCGATTGCAGTTCTTTGCTGATTCTACTGATGCCTTCTGCTTCTGATATCCGCGTTTTTTTTACAATAAAAATTTTCAAGGGAACTTATTCTATTGAGATATTCTCTGCAGACATTCCTCAACAGTAGTTTTCTATTTTTTTGTTCGATCTTTTGAATGAAAAAGAAGAAAAATAGCGAAAAAAATTTGGAAAATTCACACGAAGTAATTCCTATAGAAAATGTCTCAATAGAAACAGTTCTTTAAAAAGATCAAATTTTATTAATGAAAATAGTTATCTATTGGACATGTTCTATTAAAAAAAACGCGCAGTGGAATTCTTCAATAAAATTCAATAGAAATCCAACAGAATATTTTACTAAATTCACCAGGTTTCTCTCTGAAATTTTTTCGTGTGTGTCCTCAATTCCTCATCCCCCTATATTCACATGAATCTTCTTTTCAGTCTTTTATTCATGATCCCCTCAGCACTGGCGATATATCCAGAGACTCAGTAAGATATCTCATTCCCTCTATTCCTCCAATTCGATGAATAATTTGTAAACGATCGTGTCCTTTGAAGCTCACTAAGCACAGATCTCCTGAGATTATCTCGGCGAGAGTACGAAGAGTTCCAAGCTACATTTAGAGATAAGCCAGGGAGACTCTACTACCACAAAGGATTATGATGAACACAGAATTATGCATTCTTTTTTTTAATGAAAAAAACATTCACATGGGGAGAATGATAGACTCATGAAAGATGAAAACTAGAAATGTGTAACAAATTTATGATTAATTTAAGAATAAATAACGATTTTTGAGGAATAAATTATACAAAATAGAATACAAAACGATATGAATAATGGGATATGTTAATTGAGCATAGTAGAGAGAGTTATTTCACTTAGTACTGAAGTAATTGAACGAAATGACAGGATTTTCTACATCTTTTCTTATTAGGTATTGAATTATCTTGATAATTAGTGATTTTAGAGGAAAATATTTCGAGATATTTTCTACTCGGGATTTTTCAGATAAAAAAAGATCTTAATTTCTTCCGTTTTGTTAAACTTTCAATGTCAATAGATTCTTATTTTGCTATAGGAATTTAGGGGTTAAATTTTCAATTTTTTTCTGCGTGTATTTTCATTTGTTTCTCTTAATAAAATCCACGAAAAAAAAATTGGAAAATTCATGCCCAAGAATTTTTGCAAAAAAAATCTCAACAGAATAAATTATAAAGAATTAATAATCAGACTTTTTCTATCAAAAATATTCAATAGCATTGGCACAAAAACGAATAGAATTCTAATAGAAATTCAATAGTTTATTAAATTTTCCTATTCAATTTTTCCGAGGAAAATATTACGAAATTTTAATTCAAGAAAGGTCAAGAAATATTGGAGAAACAATTCCTTTCCAAAATGAGCTAATAACCTTTCTTAAATTAATGAACATCATGGAGATGAAAACAATTATCCATCACGATTTTTTTTCGTCTATGAGAAGGTCTCACTTTCATTTCCTCCGGAAATTCCACGTCTCCAAGATGAATTCACACTTAAAAAACATGTAGAATTCTTTTTCATACCGCCCCATCACTTCGCAACCGAATTAATCAAGTTTGTTGAAGAGAATGAAACTTTGATCGTTGCTCATCTAGAAGTACGGACGCCTCGCACATATTTTTCGCTGTCGTTTGAACCAAGAAGATGAGCTGATACTCATCAGCAACGACGAGAGGAGGTCGTGTCCTCACTAGAGCGTGAAGAATCGTCGCCCTCTCAAGGTCTAGCCACCTCTGCAAAACAATTTCCCTCTCTTTCCAGACGTCTAATGTCACATCTGCCGGGCCCCACAGTGAATACTCAAGCACAGCTTTCACCTGGATAAACGAATGAATGAGTTAGCCCGAGATTACAGGGGAGGTAAAATTGTTGAACAGTGATTTCGATGACTTTACCTGGGAGAGGCTCACGGCGCGTTCACGCACGAGTAATTCTCTTATTACCGGAAGTCTGTTCGTTAGATTGAGTTCCCGTAGGGCAACTAGAGCACTCTGACACAGTGAAACTTGCTCCTCATCGTCGTTTATGTGATCCACGTGTAGACTGCAGGATGTTTAACATGAAACGTTAATTAAGGAAGAGGGAAAACTATATGAGGCGAGTTAGCTTCTAATTTGGTTTTCGAGGAATATGGGCCTATGGGGGATAACGAGGCCTTTTTATAGCTGTCATTTTCATCTACCGAGAAGATCCTTCATTTTTTATTTCTTAATCACTAAAACTGCTCAATTAAGTCGAGTGGAAAATTTGAAATTGATTTTATTTATTAATATTTTTGTTTATGAATTGGGATTTTGGCATTTTGAGTTGATTAGAAATCTTTCACATGATCCATGTATAGATTTCAGGATGTATATGGCACATTAATTAAGGATCGGGGAAAATGATAGACGAGATAGCTTCTAACTTGGAGTTCACTTAATTAATTCAGCTCAAAGTTCACTTTTGGAGTGATATGGCAGGATAAAGTTTTTGTTTTCCGCATGACGTGCATAAAGTTCAGAGAGAGTGCGTAAAGCTAAATTTCACTTTACGTAGAGGAGAGTCAGGCAAAATGGAACGTTTCGTGATCTCTAGTTGTCAAAATCTTCACTTATAAGATCTCAACACGTCCCATTTTGCCCGACCCTCCCCTACAAGTGATGAGAAATCTGTTGAATTCAGTAGCGAAGTGGTAAAACTGTTTAAGTCGATTTTTACTATTGGCCAGTTTTCAGTGAATATCTCAGAATCTAAGGAAGATAGCTAAATTTTTGTCAAGAGCTTTTTTGTAGCACTCAATTTGCTGTAGAAAAAAGGTTATTACGAAAATTTCGTTACCTCCTTTGGATTCGGAGATATTCTTCAAAAACTCAACTAAGAGATAAGTCGATTTAAACCGCTTTACCACTTCGCTACTGAATTGGGTTAAGGGAAAAATGGTTATGAAATTTCAAGTTTTAAGTAGAATTTACGGAAATTCATGAGTTTTCAGTGGGCGTGAGATGGGAATCTAACAACTTGATTGAATTTTCAGTAAAACATGAATATTTAGAAAAAAATGACATGAATTTTCGATTTTTCCCTGAATTTTCCTGAATTTTCGAAGAATAATTGAACCGAAAAATCAAGTATTTCATTCATTTCCTGAATTTTTAGTGGAGTTTGAAAACGATAAAAATTTCCAAAATTTAGCATGGAAAATTCAGACGAAAATTTCTATCAGTGGAATTGATTCAAACAATTGTAAGCGTCGCGTTAATCCTGCTACGCGTTCATTGTGAAATTTCGTTATGAACTCCTTCCTATGAACTTATCATTGAAAATTGTCAAATTTCTCCTGGTGAATAATTATAAAACAATGAAAATTAAATGGCAAAAATTAAGGTAAATGTTAATTACCTCTGAAGATGATAGAGACGATGCGAGGGATCTCTCTCCTCCTTGCAGAGCACGAAATTACCCAGGCTCTTGGGCAATTCCTCGATTCCACGTGCCTGCAGATTTTTCAATGCTGTTACGAATTGTAGAAGAACTAGGCAACATTCTCTCATTATGGTTTCATTGCTGCTATTATTACGAAGTTGTCGCGGTAGATTTGAGAGGAATGACTTCATCGAGCATACTTGGTAAGGTGGCAGAACCGATACCGTGACTGAAATTCATAATGAAGATCGGGATTAATTATTCATGAGGGAAATGAATGAGCGTATGAAAAAAATTTTGATAGAAAGCCTTGCACTGTCTCTAATAAATTCCACCGGAACTGTAAAAATTCTATTGAAGAGCTATAAGCAATGATTTTAATTTACATAAATTACTCTCTTGAGATTTTTTACCAAATTCCTCGGGCATAACTGATTTTTCTGCTATATTTTTTTCATGTTTTTCATCATAAAATTCAGGAGAAAATTCATGTCTAAGTATTCTTATGGGAAAAAATCCAACGGAATGAGTTGAATAGAAAGATAAAAATCAGTGACTTTCTTTTATTGAATATCGATAGAAAAACACACGACAAAGTTGTATAATTTTCAGTAGAAATCGATGCAAATAAGGAGAAATTCAGTAAAATTTTCTAGGCAATGTGTCAGGTTTTCTATCGAATTTCTTTATACATGGTGAATTATTCACTCTACCGTCTTCATTCTTGGTGAGTGTATTGACGCGATTGAATGGTGCCTCATCAGAAATTCGATCTGCAAATTCGAGGATCGGAGGAAGACAGAATTCTTTGTGAGAGACTGGTGAGGTGAGACTGTCGGAAGACAAACAAATTGTCACTGGGTGGTCGTTCCACGAGGCAGAACAGAAAGCTCGTTTCCCAATTGTTCGCAGCGTGTCAACTTCGATGTGAAAGTCTTTGAGACGTGGATTCGAGGCGCCCAAGGGTCGCAGATGAAGGGAGAGAGATGAGTGGTCCACTTGGGATAACTAAAATATTTTTCATGAGTTTTGCATTCCTAGGGGATATTCCGGAGGCTTTTAATCATTCGAACTCACTCGTTCTAGCAATTGTGCCAGAGATTCGTGATTGGCTATGACAACAGCACCGTAGTTGTCCTCCAAACTTCGATGAACGACAGTTCGATTTCTCCTCTGTCGCACTCGGTTCATTACGAAATCCTCGTTCTTTGTCTTCCAGTCTTGATCCTCCTCCGCACCCTTTTGGTCGAATTAATTGTTATTTTATCGGTTTCAGTCGGACTTGATTTTTGCAGTATTTCACGTATGGACACGCACGAAAAAATTTACCAGAAAAATTTAATAGATAAACTTAGGGAGTTCGCTACACTGAGAAAAAAATTATTTTTGCCAAGTAAATTGACTAGCTATAAGCTAGCTAAAATCCACACATTTCAAATGTAAATATTTATATTTATTTACTTGTGGCAAATAAATTTACTTGGCAGAAATAATTTTTTTCTCAGTGGAGACACTTCTATTGGATTTCTATTGAACTTTTCCATTATTTTTTGGCCGATTCTATTGAAAAAATATTCTAGGGAAAAAGTCTATAGAATTTGATTTTTCTGTATAACTTATTCTACTGAGATATTTTCTATAGAATTTTATCCACTCAAGTTTTCCTAGTTTTTTTGTTTGATTTTCTTGATGAGGAAAAGGAAAAATCGAATGAAAACAAATTAGAAAATTTGAGCCGAGTAAATTCTATAGAAAATATCTGAAAAGAATAAGTTTTATAGGAAAATTGAATTCTATTGACTGTTTTTATAGAATATTTTTTATTCAACATTTCAACAGAATCGGCCAAACACTAATAGAAAGTTCAATAAAAATCCAATAGAATTGTCTGGCGAATTCCCTAGGTTTTTTATTAAATTTTTTCGTGCGTGGAAAAATTCAATAAATGAAGAAATTTCATTGAATTTCATTGGAATTTCTTCGTTTCAAATTACACGGAGACAATTTGGATAAAAATTACCTAAAAATCGCGGCAAATTTTACTGTACGAAAGGTAATCGTGGAGCGAAATGTAATTCAACGATAAAATACCCGTTTGTGTACGATATTTTACGATTTGTTAAAAAACGAATAAATGCAAAGACTGCGACATTGTTAATACAAATGATCGAAAAACGAATAGAAGTTCCACGAGAATTGCAATAGAATTAGAATTTCAATTGAAATTTCTTCAGACGTGCGCAGCTACCGCAAAAAGATTCTTGAGAAAATTTCGCTGTGTCAACGAAGTGATGAACCGTAAAAGTCAATTGAACATTAAATTTTCATGATGATGGGTGACTTCAAGAGGAAATTCCAGGACGCATAATCCTTGGCATTTTCCCATAAGTTCGCTCACTTCCTGTATGAATAAAAAACTCGTGTCCTGTCTGAATTTTAAATGAAAAATTTCAATTAGCCGCACAGTAGCCTGGAGCGGCAGAATATTGTATGCTCTCGATGATTGAAGTAACTCTTTTAACAACTCCACTAGAAGAATTCAAAGATGTGAAATTCAACTGTTACGGTGTATTACTTCGCTCCTTCGTTGACCCATTTTTCTCTAAAACTTCCTGATCCTGATTCCCAAATAGGGAACTTGCATGAATTTTTTTCAATTCTCTAGTCTCAAGTTTATGACCCGAAGAATTCATTTTTCATTCACAAAGTTCGAAATATTGCTCGTTAATTAATAATTAATTGTTAACACTCCGTTGGTGGCTCCACGAGCACCGCGCCGCACTTTTTCCGATTTTTTAACCCATCAAGTAAGGCTCCCATATCGGGCGGTGTGTCCTCATCTGCCGGCGGCCTCCCGTCTCCTCGAATTCGCTGTTCAATACGCAACGATTTCTACACTGATGATCAAAAAATTATCATCTAAAATTTAATGATAATCTTGAGCTTTCACCAACAAGTTGTTCAATTACGGTATTTCTTTATACAGATTTCCCTGGAATTTTTAAGACTAATCTCAGTTCGATAGTACAACCGGTTGCCAAGATCGGCGATTGCCAGGAATTTGTTAATAACAAATCAGTAATTCATTGAATCGAAATTTCGTTTGCGCCATTCGACAAAGGAATACTCTAACCGGATCGAAGCGATGTAAAATAACGATTAAAAAAAAATTTCCTAGATCTTTCAAATTTATCATTATGTCGATTTATGCTGGTGCGGTGCGACCAACGGCACTCGTAACTTTTGCGCGACCAACAGAGTGTTAAGAGGTAACAGAATACCGCTAAATTTCAAAATTTTTGAACAGATTTCCTGCTGAAAGTTATCGATATTTGTACAAATCAAAGCACATTAATCTCCAGGAAGCGATGATAAAGATCAATGTGTTTTGGTTTAAAAAAATATTGATAGTTTTGAGCAGGAAATTTGTTTGAAAATTTCGAGGCAACGGTGTCCTTCTGTTACCCCTTAAACGTCGAAGATGTCAAACGCTTTGAAATCGCTAATGACGTCACACGGACGGTCGAGCGCTGGACCAATCACAGAACGGCTCGAGGCGACCTAACCCAATCTTGAGGTGCGCCTCGGCCAATGGAGGACGACAACTCCCCCCTCTCTTCACACTCGACCAATGAAGTCTTACCAGACCGTCTTCGTGACGTCATGACCGAAAAAATCATCTCGAAACCGACTGATTTCCAATTAATTATCGTAAGACATCTCGGCAATATTTCTCCATAACTTTCGCTGTCTAGCTGTCCATATGTTACGAAGAATGTGTGAACAAGGAAATTAGAAAGAATTGAGCTTCACGCAAGTTCCCCATTGTCACCGATACTTGCCTCATTCCCAGTATAAAACCCATCGCTCTCAGTCTCGCTGTGGCAGTAAGGCAGTGAATTAGACCTCGCAAATGTTGACTTGGTATACTTGAATTGTCGATAATGATCGCCACCACCGCCACCCTCCGAGTTTCTTTTATTGGCATTTGCTCTTGTTGCCTCATTGGCATGCCTACGAAGCTCCAGATTCGAATCACACTCCGGTGAACTCGAGAGAAACTCGTAGACATCGTGACTGTCACTCGAAGTCTACATATCAAAATTTCCAAATTGAAAAAAAAAAGACAGAGAGAAAGAGAAAGAGTGAGCAGAAAAATGAACAGAATGAGTAGAAAGTCAATAGATCCCTTCACCTCCTTCTACCTCTACATCAGTAATTTATGATTATTTATGTACCGAGTCGAGTGAATCCGAATTCGTTGGTACATCGAGACAAGATTTTTCGTAACGTCGAGAGGCAGCCAATTCCCTTGGACTCGAGTGATTACTCTTCATCGTTTCACTCTCACGCTTTATGCTGGCTGTGCGCTGTGGCTTGGACGGTGCAAGTGTGCTTCTCACCTCACCTGCAACATTCTCCGGTGCTGCAGGCCCACCACGCCATTCATCAAGCGCCAGGGGTTAGTTACAACCACATTTATTGGGTGTTTTTTTTTTGTTCAATAGCCATTCATTTATTAAATAATTATAATAAAACGCATGCCAGATCAGTAGCAACATGCCTTTAGTCGCACTTACCCTGTATTCTATTCCATGTTTGCATTTCAAATAATTTACATTTTAACGATTTTTGTCATTTTATTTTGGGAATCGAGTTACTGCATTATTAGAATTCAGAAAATCACGTTTATTTCAGAATGAGAATTTACAGTATTTTTCTTTTCAATCAGCACTTTGTGGTTTTTGTTCTCTTCCTTCAAAAATACAGAGAGTGATATATCACAGTATTTATCGTCATTATTTTCTTTTTCCTTCACTTAAATTATGCATAACGATTATCGCTTATAACGAAAATGTAAAAAAAGCTTAACATTCTCATAACAAATCAGTAATATGGCCTTTTAATATAAAAAGAAACGAGAGGAGACGATGAGAGGCAATTAGTTAATAACTATTGGCATTGTGAGAATGATACAATAATTAATGGATTGATTGTTGACCTTAGAGGCTTTTCTCTCATAAAAACGAACAAAAATATTAAGCACCTACATCACGTCCTATGAATAATTCAATAAGGAATTACTAAATGTTAAGATCAATTGCACTGAATGGGCCGGAACTTACCTAAATTCGCGTAAATTGAGTCACCAGCGACTGTTCCGTGCTGAGTTGTGTGCCATGCTCTCACTGGTGGTGAGGATTTTGTTGGATTATCCGGTGTGGGGGGTGGGGGCCTTGTTGAGGGCTGCTTGCTCGGCAAATTTATCGATGATTGACCGTTTCTGGGGGGTGGCGGGGGCTTTCCGAGTCTCGCTGGAGGGAATAAATTCAAATGACAGCGATGAATAAGAGAAGTAACATCAATTTATCTAGCGCTTTCTCTGAGAAATTGTTTTGAGTTTTTATTTGAATTCTATGAAAATTCTGTTCGAGTTCTATTGAAATATTCTATCATATTTTTTTTATTTACGCCGGAAACCCTTTCCGGGTTTATTCGGCGAAATAATTGTCTATCATAATTGTTTAAAAAAACTTTTTGTTTGTTGGCTGATATTTGTTGGAATAGATAATTCATAGATACGTCGAGATTTTGATTTTTCTAGATTAATTATTGAACATCATTTGTTTAATTTTCTTGTTGTTGTAGGCTTGTTACAGAATAAAATGAAAAATCGTTGCAATCGGGGGCTTTCCGAGTCTCGCTGGAGGGAATAAATTCAAATGACAGCGATGAATAAGAGAAGTAACATCAATTTATCTAGCGCTTTCTCTGAGAAATTGTTTTGAGTTTTTATTTGAATTCTATGAAAATTCTGTTCGAGTTCTATTGAAATATTCTATCATATTTTTTTTATTTACGCCGGAAACCCTTTCCGGGTTTATTCGGCGAAATAATTGTCTGTCATAATTGTTTAAAAAAACTTTTTGTTTGTTGGCTGATATTTGTTGGAATAGATAATTCATAGATACGTCGAGATTTTGATTTTTCTAGATTAATTATTGAACATCATTTGTTTAATTTTCTTGTTGTTGTAGGCTTGTTACAGAATAAAATGAAAAATCGTTGCAATCGGGGGCTTTCCGAGTCTCGCTGGAGGGAATAAATTCAAATGACAGCGATGAATAAGAGAAGTAACATCAATTTATCTAGCGCTTTCTCTGAGAAATTGTTTTGAGTTTTTATTTGAATTCTATGAAAATTCTGTTCGAGTTCTATTGAAATATTCTATCATATTTTTTTTATTTACGCCGGAAACCCTTTCCGGGTTTATTCGGCGAAATAATTGTCTGTCATAATTGTTTAAAAAAACTTTTTGTTTGTTGGCTGATATTTGTTGGAATAGATAATTCATAGATACGTCGAGATTTTGATTTTTCTAGATTAATTATTGAACATCATTTGTTTAATTTTCTTGTTGTTGTCGGCTTGTTGCAGAATAAAATGAAAAATTGTTGCAAAATCATTGTTATAGATGAAATATAGATGAGGTTTAGAATGAGATTGATATAATTTTTAATAGAATTTCAATACGATTGTGATAAATTCTCAATAGGATTTAATGCAAAAACTTATGGGGTTGGCTAGAAAATTTGATTGCACTCCTATTAGGCTTCTATTGCAGAATAAAAAAAAACCAAGGAATAAAACTTATGACAGCCATCCTCCAGAATTCTGATAAAAAATCCGCAAGAAAAAAGTTATAGAAAAATTAACATCCATTATTTTTTTCTATAAAATGAAAATCTACGCAAAAAAAAAACTCTTATTAGAATTTTGATAATATTTTCGCAGAACTCAAATGAAATTTCTCAAAGAAATGTTAATTTTTTCTTATTAAATTCTCTAATACACAAAAACGAAATAAAAGCAATAAAAAAGCTTAGAAAAACCATGTCCTTCAAATTCGATAGAAAAAATCTCAAAAGAATTGTCAATATCAAAAAAATTAAACCCGTTGTCCCTATTCTATCAAATTCGAAAAATCGTCCATCACAGTTGCGTAATTTGAAAATCAACAACAAATTCCACAGAGCCCCTTAAAAAAAAGTATATCTATAAAATTCCCCCATGTGTCCTATTACTCATAAATATCCATTGAACTAACCAGTGACATTACTCCCCGCCTCTAGTCTCGAATCATTGACCACGAGTTCCTCCTGGCACTTGGTAAGTTTATCATGTCGTAATACTTCCACAGCGGCTCCATCCAACTCCAACGGATGAATAATCTCCAATCTCGGTTTAGGTTGAATGGTCCCGGGTATTTCGTCCACTTTTGTTGCCGACGAGGCCATTGTAGTTATTAAATTAATATCCTTTCTCGAGCCGCCCATTCTCAGCAATTTTTTCAATGAAAAACGTGACTTGCTCTTTTTCTTCTCCTCGATTTTGTCAGCTACCATCGAGGACGACGGAATGTCCTGGTGGGACAGGGAAATACTTCTCCTCGGCTCCGGCGAGTCCTCAGGGGGTTGACTCCCCGCGGAAAAACTCATAGAGTCCTCGGACACCATTGGACCCAGTGATTTCTTCAATTTGGGACTCGAAGAAGTCGTCGCACGCTCCCGCTTCTCCTTTTCCCGAACAACAGGACAATCAGACTTTAAATTAATCTTGAAATTTGGTTTACGAGTGAAAAGAGGACCGGAAGTGTCATCCAAATTGGCTTCCGGGGGTTTCGGTGCCATCCGGCGTTTTCCATTGCCACTCGACTGATTATCCAAGCCACATTCGTCCTCCCTGATAGACGATTCTGCGTATCGCTCGACATTTTCCCCATTCTCCTGCTTGCTATCGACATTCGGTGGAATTGCATCATCAAGCGTAGGAATCACAGCGATTCCTTTAGCCTCGACTGATATGGTCTTTGAAATGGCAGTGGGTTTTTTACCAGCGAGTGTATCTGAATGCAGAAATGATCGTCTTGGCTCAGTGGGAATGCCACATTCCAGCGATATCTCGTCCTCGTCTGCTTTTCCATCGGGCACACCAGCCTCCTCACGGCTATTGTTATCCTCAAGAAATCCTGAACACTCGGCATTCTCGATTGGCTCTGATTCACCTTCGACCGTTCGCTCATCCAAATCCTCGTAATTCGGGTCAACTAAACTCTCCCCGTTACTGACAATTTTTTCCGACTCCTCATTCACTTTTGACGGATTGCACTCTGTTTTGGTGATTGTTGACTTGACATTTTCACATTCTCTCGCTTCGCACGTACTTTTAACTGTCGACTCCGAGATAATTGCCGACAATTTGGTCTCAATTTCGAAGTCAGGGACACGAATCGACGCTGGACTACTTGGTGCATCATTTTTCTTGATTGCCATTAGATTATTCGACGCAATTAACGGCATATCGACGATTTTTTCAAGTGCAACTGGCCGTTCATCGGCTCGTTTTCTCTCAATTGGCCTTCGGGCTGTTGGCACACTAACGTCATCAGCTCCAAATGGCGTTACAGATATGAGCAGTGTGGTTTTATTGCCATCGGCGTCTTTCTGAATTCTACCAAGCATAAGACCAACTGTTTTTGGCTTCGTTTCACTAGGTGCACTCGTCAAATTAGCCGTTATCATGTTGAAATTTGTGTTGACTCGAGTGAGATTGCTGAGTGCGCGATCCTCCTCGCTGTCTTGAAGTGAATCAGTGTCTTCGTCGTCATTGGTATTTTGACATTTCGATTCGATGAACTTTGAGTCAGCATCTATTATCTGTACGTCGTTGGACATCGGGTCCAATTCATCGTCATTGTCGAAATAATCATCGCCACCGTATCCAATGACTCTAGTCAACTCTTCCGGAAATGCCACGCGATTTTTTTTACGTCTAGATCCTGTCACAGCCGTTGTTCTAAGACCACGAAGAATACCCTGTGAACAAGTTGTTTTGTGTACACGATAAAAAATACAATTTCTCACTTCCGCATTTCCAAGACCGGCTAACCCACTTCTTTTAGCGCAAAACCGAGTGGTGCCTTGGGTAACGATAAATACACCGATGGCTCGCGGGATTAACGTTAGGTATTATGGGAGACGGCCATTAACCCCGACCCATCAACGGTTCACCATCGGCAATTTTGCACTTTAGGCTTTTTCTTTCCCTTTACGAAATCCGCGAACTTGAATTGACCTAGAGTTTAATTCAGTAGCGAAGTGCCAAAACGGTGCAAGTCAATTTTGACTATTGACCAGTTTTCAATGAATATCTGGGAATCTAAGGGAGATAGCAAAATTTTTATGATGACCTTTTTTGTAGAGCCGTTTGAGAGCTACAAAAAATGTAATTGGGAAAATTTCGCGATCTCCCTTAGATTCCGAAATATTCCTCAAAAACTCAACTGGGAGATAAGTCGACTTAAACCGTTTTACCACTTCGCTACTGAATTGTATCGCGGGGGGAGGGGGAGGGAGGGGTTGAGGAGGAAAGTATTCACCTGAACATTTTTAACTTCTCGTGCTATTAATGGCTTTGTACATGGCGCTGAGCGTTGGTGATCCTGCCGGGACTCGAAACAGTTGGCACAGAGCTCCTTCTTCCAGGCATGCTGCACGAAGTATCGGCATTCCTTCGACATTTTTATCGTTTTTCACACTCGACTAATTTTCATTACTCTCGGCATAACTTCCTGGAAGCAATTAAAAAACAAAGGAGGTATTACTTGCGGGGGGCTGAGGATGGCTGACCTTTGGGGAATTGAATTGGGTGGTCAGTGCTGTTGCGTAGTTCTTTGTAAGGAGGGTAATGGGGGATTGCGGTAGGAGTACATTTGCATTCACTTTTTTTTTCGTTGTATAAGCTTTTGTGGAGAAAGAAGTTTTGATTTTCAGGGGTGTTTCATTAATTTTCCGGAATTTATCCGCAATTATTGGGGATCCGCGATTGAGGAATTCCGTGAGTGCAAGATTCTGAAATTGAGCGATTTTGTCACCAATTTTCGGTGGCGGTGTCGATAATTTCTGTTGACATTGTCAATTTTCAGGGAATCTTACTGGTTTTGAAGTATCCGTTGTGAATTTTTAGGAATCTATCATCAAATTTCATTGGTAAAAATCACTCATAATCAGGGTTATTCAAGTCAGTGTACATTTCCATTCAATATTTTTTTAATTAAGCTTTCATAGAGAAAAAAATTTTGATTTTTACAATGATAGAAAGGATTAGTTATTGTTAACGAATGGATCTGGTTGAAGATGAGAGTCTATTCAGTCTCACAAAATTTTCATTCGTTAATAGTTAACAAATGCACATTTGAGGAGCCTTTTTTAACTTGATTTTCACCTTTCAAGTGAACCATTCGTTAACTATTAACGAAAATTCATTTGGTCATATTCAACTCTACCATTCGTTAATAGTTAACGAATCTCGTTTGGAATAAATGAATCAGTCTATCAGTGCAGGGACATGTCACTAATGTTCAGAAATTTATCCTCAATTATTAGGGAAATTCAGTGAGTGCAAAATTCTAGAATTGATGATTTCGATGATTTCCAGAGACATTAGTCCTAATTTTTAAAGTAATGTCACCGATTTTTCGCGAGTCATCTTCAATTTCCAGAGAATCTCACTGATTTTGAGGTACTCATTCATAATTTTTAGGAATTGATCGCCAAATTTCAGTGGTAATAACCACTACGAACAGGGTTATTCAAGTCAGTGCACATTTACGTTCACTATTTTTTAAAATTGAGCATTCACAGAGGAAAAAGTTTTGATTTTCAGGAAGATGTCATTAATCTTCAGGAATTCATCCCAAATTAGAGATTAGGGTTTGGAAAATTCAGTAAGTGAGAAATTCTGAAATTTAATGATTTTGTTATCAATTTTCAGTGACATCATCCCTAATTTTTAGAATAATGTCACTGATATTCCGGTACTCATCTTTAATTTTTCGACCTCTATGACCAAATTCTAATAGTAAAAATGACTAACAATCAGTGCTATTCAAGTCAGTATCCAGTATCACCAATAATTGGTAATAGATTTCTGAAAACTAAAACACATGTCCCAGGTCCCTGAAAAGCAAAAAAAACATGACAAATAGTTTTTTTCATAATTTTTTCGAATTAAATTGAAATGTCTTTACACCAAGACTAGTTTTTAATTTTTCATTTTTGGTTTTGTTTATGCAAAGTACATTGAAGCATTTTATACTCCATCTCTTCAAATGAATTCGTCAATTCTAAATCAAATGGCTGAGAAGTCATTTATCGTTTTCTTCTCCATATTGCTTTCAAAGAGAGAGAAATAAATTCAACAATCTCTTCTACCAAAAAAAACCGCAAATGTTCTCAGAATCTCCGATTTTTTAATTTCAAAAAGAGCAAAATATTCCTTTCACTAGAGAGACTCCATTGAATCATCATATTTAATTGATATAGCAATTACGATGAAATTTTGCACACTCATTACACTCTAACAATCAAAACCCATTGAATGAACGACGTGTGTGCGAGTGATGCGCTTGAACTTTCTCTCGTTAAATTCATTGCAAGCTATCCACTGTCATCATAATTGTAAGGAATATACCCGCCATACACGTGTGTTCCTCGATCCGGGGCAATATAGACGACTTCCGTAAGGGACTTTCCCACTTATCTGAATGCTAATAGACTTATCAGAATCATCATACGTACAAGGAGTTGAATTCATCGGAGCACAAGTGAGTTATTAAGATCGCACCACACGATACGATGAATTTTTTAATCACACAGTCTTCATTCCGTCAGAATTATTCCGTTTCTCATCGAGATAGAAGAACCCCTAATCGTTATGATGAAACGCTGATACCAGTTTTCACGAGAACTCGATGAGCCATTTCAACTCGAATTTTCCCATCCCCAAGTTTGACTATCAGAAAGCTACCCAGTTGCCCTCATTCTCCCATATTTATATATAGTTTTTCACTCGCTTTTATTTCCTAGATTGTCTCTTAATTGTGCCGAGCACTCGTTTTATTCACCATTTCTGTCCAGTGACACGTGAGAGATCTCCTTGGGAAAAAAAACCGGTGCTCCCTATGACGGTCGCAACCTCATTGCACATAGGAAAACTCTCATTTATGATGTGTAGAAAAAACAGTCGAATGGCGCAAAAATAAGGCCTTCAATCGGCGATGAGTTTCTACTGAACGAAAATTTTCAATTTCTTTTCGAAGGAACAATCTTGGAAGAAGATTGAAATTTCATGGACGGTTGACTGCACTGGTGAGAATTTTTAGCTGACATTTCCGGTACACCTCTTGGAAATTCTTATCGCAGTATACTTTCACTGGAATTTCAAGGAATTTCGTGATTAAAATTTGAAGTTTTACACGGAGAGAAATATTCAAGAAAAATTCCGGAACATTTCACGTAATCCGCAAGCGAGAATCGTTTTCAGTGAATTTCTATAGGAATATAAGAGAATAAATCTGAAACGTTCAGTAAATTTTCGGGTCTGTCACCGAAAAAATACGAAAAAGTCACGCAATTTTTCTGGAAGTTGTAAAATCTAACAGAAACTTCACGACTTATTATGCCCCAGAACATGAAAATTCTTGGATGTTTAAGAATTTTTACGAAAAGTTCCGGAAAAATTACGGAACGTGTTGTTAAAATCTCCCCCTCACGGTGACTCATGGCTAGCCGTGAGGCGTCGGCCGGATGAGTAATTTTTACGGAACAGATCGTAGAATTTACGTGACGATTGACACTTTTTATTGAATTTTACTTCGCTCCCAGATTACGTTTCGAAACGTAATTTTTACGTCTTTTTTCTGGTAATTTTTATTGAATATTTCTCTCCGTGTAGGGAAAATTCACTGGAAAATGCGGATTCCAGTTTAATTATTGTATGAAAGTTAATGGGAATCGCTAAAAATCGGTTGAATATATTCTTGAATTTTGAAATAATTGGAAATTTAGCGTAATTTAGTACTGAATGTTCGTGTTGGTATTGAAGCATCAAGTAAGTTTAGGAATACTCGTCTCCCCGCTCCTTAAAAATTCGAAATTTCATTGAACGTTCAGTAGAATCTGAAATTCATAATTTTTTCACCCTTAATTGAACTCAACGTCACTCCCCTGGAAATTATCGGTCAAGTGTCCACGAAATTTCAATTTTTTTCTAACAGTGTAGTCATTTTCAATAAATTTATTGATCAAAGGATTTTATTCATGTTTCAGAATATTCATAATTCGCGAAGGATAATAAGGAGAGTGACATTGAATTGTATCCTGTAAAAATTCTGTCATATTTGAGATTTTTTAGCAGCAGTAAAATGAGAATTCCCCAACATACTTGAATGTTCATCATTTTCATGCTTTTCTCGGAATAATTCAACTGAAATTTATAGTTGCCATTCATATTTCCATAGAATTTGGAATTTTCAATGACGAAATTCACAAATAATTGTAAATTCAGCCTAATTTCGTACTGGATATTCATGTTTTTATTAAAACATCAAGCAAGTTTAGTAATTTCGTTGAATTGTCAATTGAATTTGAAATTTCATTTTTTCCCTTTCACCGAGTTCAATGTCACTCCCCTGGAAATTATTAGTCAAATGTCCATGAAATTTCAACTTTTTTCTAACGGTTTAGTAGTTTTCAAGAGGTTGATTGATTGAAGGACTTTATTCATGTTTCTGCATATCCATAATTCGCAAAGGATAATAAGGAGAGTGCCATTGAATTCTATTTGATCAAAGACAAGAATTTCCCGACTTACTCCAATTTTCCTTACTTTTATCAATTTTCATGAAACAATTCAACGAAATTCACAGTTGCCATTCATGTTTCCATAAAATTTAGAATATTCAATGCCAAAATTCCTCGAAATTTCAATAGAACTATGATAAAAATATTCGAGAATTGTTCCGCAATATTCAGCCAAAAATTCTTAATCGTAAAGATAACATTCTCGAAATGATAAGAAAAATTTTAAATGAGAAGAAGAGGCAATTTCTTACCTTTGAACTCATTGCGATTGAGAGAAAGTGAATGTCATATTTCAAAAATGTCTGGAGATTTTCCTCTGCATGACTCCTCCATTCATTCAATAGAAAAGCCCGTGATTCGTCATTCACTGGGTCAAAGATTTGAATATTTTGCGGACGATTTCTGGAGATAAGACTGAAACTAGCAGAATATTCGCCAACGGAGACTGAAATTTAGCGGATTTTTAAGAATATGAAAGTCAAACAATCATACATACGCGCAAATGTCTTTTAAGCGCGAAAGAGTTTGTACATGACTTAAAAATATTTGTACAATTCAAAATTCGTCTAAATCGAATCTTCCGCTGGCGAATCTTTCGCTAGTTTCAACTTCATTTTCTGGCTCTGAAAAAAATCAAGTCACGACCACTTCACGGAATTCCCAACCCATTCGTCCTCAACATACACACGGAGAGAAATGTTCAGTAAAAATTACGGAACTCCCAATGCACTCACCGATTACGGAATCGACTCAGAAAATTTAAGTGACGGTATCGTAATTTTTCACAGGAGATTCAGATAAAAATTACGAAACGCTCCGGAAAAATTCCGTGACAGTTCCGTAAAATTTCCTACAACCACATTTCGCTCCGGAATTACGGAAAAGATACGTAATTTTTATTGAATATTTCTCTCCGCGCAATATATTT